TACTTGTTAGTAATAGGAAAATCGAACTTGCGAAAAGGCCGCTGAATTTTGTAATATCAAAAATTCAATTATATTATATTATCTACTTTGAAGTCAGATTTATAACAATATTTATTATATTATTAAATTATTCAATCTTGAATATATTGGATTTAATTACAAACAAATTCCTATATATTATATATATAAATGTCACGGGTTCACTACCTGTTCCTAGCTAGCTCGGATGGATGCCTTAGGCATCCATCTACCATATAGTCGTCGTCGCTCTACGCGTGCCTCCTTCTCTCCTCATCGAATATCATATATCATACCTAGTACCCATCAGAACCCGTACCAGCCCTGTGATAATATATTCGATCCTTCAAAAGGTTCCGCTGCTGATCAACCTAACCTTGATTTTTTATTTGCAAAAAACTTACAGGGTTATTGTTTACTATATAATATAATTGATTATTTAACAAAAAATGAATTTGAACAACTTAATTTTACAAAAATATTGATATTACAAATACCTTGATATTATAAATATCTTAATATTACAAAATTTGAGAATTTTGAATTCTGTTTTCATTTTATAATAAATAATACTAGAAATCCATAGATTACTCTAACAAATGCTATTGATACAAATATATTCATTATTACAAATACCAAAACATTTGATAGCTTTAAAGTTCATATCTATACTATTTTCTATAAAAGTCCTTTCACTATTGATATACTTTTGAATCAATCTAATACACTAAACCCAGATTCATTAATTCAGTTATATGCTAATCAAGCTAATGAATCGCTTGTTAGACTTTATATCAGATGTTTGTTTTTAATATTTGAGAATATTGTTATATAACAATATAAGGCTAAAACAAATCTTGAAATGGAATAAACAAATATTCAAAAAGAATATATTACTTATACAACTATTAAAGAAAATCTGATTATAATCTAAGCTTAGCTTACAAAAGTACAAACATAATTTCAACAAAATAATATATTAATTACTAAAACACAGAATCTGAACAATAGAATTTCCCAGGTCTATTAAATTGTGAGGGATCACAAGCAGGGAATAGGCCGGATAGTATCAGTACTACAGTTAGGGTATAGTTTGTACAGAACTGAACTCATACCACTGCCATGGTGGTATGAGGGTAGTTCTTTATAGATTTTAGTACGAACTAACTAATAAAGAACAAAGGATATGAAAGGATACGGAGTATCCTTTCACATGCACGCTTTTCCGGCTAGTCCCCGGAAGGGGATTAGTCTCTACGCGGTGACAAAAAACCCCGGAGCTGAAACCCGTTTCTGGAAATCTGACCAACAATGTCCTTCGGTTTTATACTTTTGGCTTAGTGTCATATATAGAAATCACAAAGTTACAGGATTTTGTACTTCCTTCTCATACACTATCTGCAAAGGAGAAATAAAAAGTCTTCCAGTCAGGCTTGAGATTTGTCGTCTGTAAAAGCTCATTCCACCTATAACCCCAGAAAACAATAGGCTTATTGTTGGGATCACAAGGTGATATCACCTAACCATAATATTCCTTATATATTATCCTTTTTTAACGTTGAATACGTATAAGGTCATGGCCATGGCCACGGAGGTTAAGCCTCACGCGGCCGCTAGTGTAAGCACGTGAATACTCACGTGCGAGTTTATACCGACACTCGAAGAGGGGGAAAATGAAAAGAGACAGGGTTTCTTCTTGGGTGAGACTACTATCACGATGTTGTAAATATTAGAGTCGGATTAACTAAGTATTGCGATAATTAACTGTTATAGAAAAGGTATATCTTCATTTGAAAGTATTACTTGATTTACAGGGCAGGTATCTTCACCTCTAGCTCCTATGCTCTTTAATCAAACATCAGATATTGATTCTTCAGAGTTGTTCTGGGCATTTGGTCATCGTTTAAACATCGGTCTGTCGAACAAGAGGTGCACGTCAGGGAGGTGTGAAGCTTGAGCTAAGGAAAGCCTAGGAACAGGACCGATTGATCACCACTCGAATCTGGTCAGTTTCTTCAATAAAGTAACTCGAACTCGTAACATCTTATTTTGATTCTCTGGATTGAATCAGACAACGCGTAATTAAAATACGTTCTCAGTGAATAGAAACAGATGGTACGACGGCGATATCAGTCCCTTATACAACTTTTATAGAAGGCGTGAGCAGGAAGGAACTTAAACGAAGTCATACGGTTTCTTCCAATTCAAGTACGAAACAGACTAGTCTTTACCAATTGTTATCAGTCTTCATAAAAAGCAGTGCTATCTGATAGAGAGTGACTCGATCTTCAACAACTCAAGAGCACTTAAATCGTGCACGGACCACGTTAAACCTCTAGTAAAGTCTCTGGTCAAACATCAAAAGTCTTTCCAAGGGGTTCACAGAATTGTGGAATATAGCTCAGTGATTTCTCGCTTCTCAAGAGAGAGTGCTGGCACGGGCTTAGCCGGGTACGGTCGAGGCAATCTTCCTGCATGTGCCGCAGGGGGCATCTCGCCAATCAGCTTCTAGCATAATTTTCGACTCAGCACCCATAAAAGCTGCACCTCCCCCCTCATCTTACACACTTTCTTTTACACTCCTTCACCTACTTCAATTCTATCAAAATCCATCGATATATAATCAACAAATTGATTCCACATACCCCGGACATCCAAACAATCTTTTAGGAACACACACACGTGAGTAACACTTGGTACCCTCGTTCTGCTTGATCATCGCTTGAGGATTTTGTCCAGGTTAGTCAAAAGACCAGCACAGTTGACACAATCCATCAACAGTTCATCGCCCTTGGGTGATTCATCAAACAAATCATCATCAATCATCAACTCATCGCCCCTGTTCATCATTATAAAAGCAATCAAAACGGCAAAATGTCAGGAAACACTTCTCCTGGCGCCAGCCACTTACCCATGTATCACTACTTCAACACCATAATGACACCATACGAAATCGATATGGATTCCTTCCAATGGGAAGTGAAACCTGTTTTAGCCAATGCCACCGACATAATCCAAAGGTCGCCTGCTCCCAGACAGAAATTTGTTCGGTTCGCTCCCAAAGCCGTTGACATCAAATACAATGAATTCAAAACAAAGTCAAATAATGGAAGGCAGAGGAACAATGCCGCAGCACTCACTGTTGCCAACGATTCGAAGATGATGAGAATCCCATCACCGTCGGAATTGTCCAGAGCAGGTTCGCCCCGCCAGGATCCCAGCTCGACCCAAATCCAATCGTCCCATCGTCGCACGATTCGAGAGAACCCAACTGAACGATCGAGCCGAATGGAATTTGAGGCCCAGAATTATACTTCATCCCAAAATGGTCAATTCAAGCTTGTTGTGGCCAATACTCCAACTCAATTCCCCCCTCGTGTACCAAGTCCTCCGGCAAGCCGAGATCCACCACCCACACCTCGACCTGCACGGCTTAGTACACCAGATTTTACGGATGACTACGATGATTGTCCCCGTTTTTGTGACTGTTGTGGTAACTATGAAGCCGAGAGGTCGGGACGTACTCTTGATAGTAGGAAAGAAGGATCGGCGTGTTCGAAGATGGAATATCAATGTGAGACGATACTCCAAAGTAGGCTTTTCAGAATTAATCCAGTTAGATCAAGCAGCGAGTGCCTATATAGGAGATAGGAGACTAGTAGCGGAAAAGCGAAAGCAAGATCTTGCTGTCGTACCAACAGAGGATACTCAGGTGTGGAATCTAATGCGCATGGGATACCCACGAAGCGTCGCCATCACCACTTTAGAGGCGTATAGACACGATTTTGAAAAGGTAAATGCTCGAATCCCAACATCGTTGTCGTTGCTAATTCTTGACAATAGGCGGCGACTTTCTTAGAGTATAATTATTAAGCTTATGTGTTTAAGAGTCGGGCCACAATTTCCTTCTCAAAATCACTATTTTTATAAAAAATGATATCCCTTGAGGGCGTTATTGGTTCGGGAAAGCTCGTATGCGGTATTGCTCGTGCGCTTTGATAGTATTGTATATATGTTGAATATAACCTCGATCTCCTAACAAAAGTATATCTTTCGTGGCGATATTTTGTGAAAGATGAAAAGTAATGCATTTCGAAAGTCGACTTCCAACTCTAAATAGTATAGTCCATCTGTGAACAAATACAGGCAACACAATCTTCGTATGTGTCAGACGCGCCCAACGAGCGAGCAGTACACCTTTGCCTCAAATTGATTCTTCAGACGATAACCTCGTCAGCAACGCTTCAATCACTTGTCCGACGGGATATTCGCTCATAATATTGACCACTGAAAAGAAATTTCAAGGCAGAAAAGATTATGTGCAATTTAATAAAGATATTGAGAAGTTTACTTCTTAACATGTCGTTGGAGCTGACTTTCGTTAATGAAATCGGGCTGTTCCAAATATGGTTAGTTCATAATGTTTTTTGGGCAAGGCGTGCAGGCATTGACGTGCCCCGCCAAAAGATTCCAGCTTCAACCTCAACCCCACCTTCTCGTCGACAAGCTTCACTCCGATCTCGCTGATAAAATACTACAAAAGATAATATCATACACTGGTAATTTCCAAGAATTAACATATTAATTAAACATCAAAATGTCGGACCTCACTACAGTTTACACTAAGGATGCTGCTTTCCGTAAGCCTTTCCTGATTCCTGCGAATGTTGATGTCCTTCACTTCTTCCACGCCTCGATTCTAACAACCCTCTAGCAGCAGGACCTTACTCCCAGGCTATCAAGACTTCATCTACTGTATACTGCTCCGGACGTAAGTCTACACACTCCTTTGCTCATTTCCATCCCTTCTCACCTTCCCGCTTCCACTCAAAGCTCCCAGCTAAACAATCCCCTTACATCCAGAAATCCCCTGCACACCCGAAGGCGAAATCCTCACTCTCGAGACCTCCAGCATTTCTGCCATGACCGAACTCTGCATCAAGAACCTATCTGCCGTTCTCAAAGAAGCTGGAAGCAGCATCGAGAAGGTTGTAAAGGTCAATGTGTTCCTGACAACCATGGATAATTTTGCGGAGATGAATGGAGTTTACGAAAAGCTCTTTAAGCACAAGCCTGCTAGAAGTGAGTTTATATACCTTTATCGTTGAGAGGGAGACCGTAGATGGGAGATAGAATGGAGATGGAGATCTCGAATGTCGTTTAGGGAAGAGGAAGAAATATGCTAATGACGTTTCGATAGGTTGCGTTGCCGTATACCAATTGCCAAAGGGAGTTCCGGTCGAGATCGAATGTATTGCTTTGGCTTAATGCCATGTGCGATGGTCCTGATGGGAAACGAAAAACACATAGACCTCTGAAAACTGCAAAAATGATGATGTCCATGAAGTATATTCGCGGTTCCAATATTGAGATCATGATATTATGAATATACCATGGCACAGATCAGCTAGTACAGCTTCAAACTATTTTCCATTACCCGGAAGGGTGGTCTTCCGATCTTTATTACAACAGTTTGAATTCTGAAGCCAGAACTCAATGATACGTTGAATTGCATGATACGTTATATCAGCTAAGCACGAGCTCGTCATGATCCTGAAGAATTGAGGGCATCGAGATATTGCAGATCTTGATAGACCAAGCTCTCATAGTTTCAGAACTTGAGTCCAAGTTAATTCCGCCAATTGTGATAACTAAAGTTAGTCTTGTTAGTCTATGGTCTAGTTACGCGTCCTTTTCTCCATTTTGAGATTATTTTGCCGGCCCGTCCATTAGTTTAGACTTAAGTCTTTCAACTAGTACGAAAATTCTAACCCTCCAACCGTGCACTTGTTCTAAACATTAAACTCTCTAGAACCAGCTTCAACTAGCGACGCAACGTCCTGAATTTTACACTAATTTAGTAAGCTCCGCGCCGCAAGATGTCAGGAGACATGACACAATGATCGACATACAAAATTTCTTGGCCCCGGCACATAACCAGCTAGTATCCAACTTTTTCTCACTACCGGAAGCTCGATCGGAATGGATTCAAGTCAAAAATTCGCAAATTGTTCTATTGATTCACTCCCTACATGACATATTTCACGATAAAAAGTAGGAACTATTTATCAGACGCGAGAGAATTTCGGGGTGCCTATTTGCAAAATACCTCGTGCAAACTACAAATCGATTAAGCAGCTCAGATCGAATGAAAATGATGTTATGGTATAGAAATCGTTAATTTGACACTGCACAATGTTGAAATGATTGATTTCTTATCATTATGGATGACTTAGGCAATGTGGATGAACCTTTGATCGAGATCATATTCGCATTCGCATCCGCATCCACATCCGCGTCACTTTCTTTCCTTTCCTTCCCCTTCCCCTCCGCTTTCGGCCCTTTATAATACCGCTAGCCTCTTGATCATTTCAATTAATCAAACGACGCTAATAATCTCGCTATTGTTATATTTATGCTGTCAGAAAGTCTGCAATTGGGGTATACCAGTATAAACTATATAACGATAAACTATAAGGGGGTAATCTAGTTCTTTTTAGTTCCCGAGTTGCGGACTTTCTGGCGACATGAGTACTTTTATGACGTTACCTGCCGATCGGTCCAACATGCTGGTACCGTGGGACCGGTCCCTCCTAACCTCTATCCTCCCTAGCCTCTCAACCCTCTCGATTAATCAAACGATGCTAATGATTTTGCTACCGTTGGACCTCATCTGAATGAAGACCGACGGTCAGTTCAACGTGCTGGTACCGTGGTACCGCCGTACCGGTCCTCGCTAGCCACTATCCTCCCTAGTTTTACTAATCGTTAGCCCTTCCCCTTCCCCTTCCCCCTCCCCCTCCCCACATAAAACTAATTTACCTTGATTCCCCCAATCTCATATTCATATGGAGCAGGGACCAGGGAGGGGAAAGATAAACGAATCGGATCCCCACTAAACCCCATCCGATCCATGCGATCCAATTCAATCCACACCACACCACACCACACCACACCAGCACTAAACCTTAAAACCACGTCATTCAATTCATTCATTTGTTCATTGGATATCTAGAACCTCCTAGAAGCCCTCCCGCTTCCCCTGACTCCCTGACTGAGGCTGAATACAATCTAGAATATACTACGCTGCCCCTCTCCCCTCCCCTCTCCCCCCTATCTCAACCACTCACTCACTGACCATCTCTCGCTCGCTTATAAGCGAGTAAACTCTATTATTATACCATACCATACCATACCATACCATACCATACCATACCATACCACTTCATATGTAACTGTAGAAAATAAGGGAATTGGAGTTTATGTAAATCACATTCATATCATTTTACATCTCATCACAGGCAGTTGCACAAGCAATCAATCACACAGTCAGTCACAGCCATCACACAAATAATGCAATGCAATGAAAAACTTGACATGTATCAAATTTCTCATTGATTTTCCACATCTAAATATGTATGTACGAACGCACCACCATTTATCTGCCCTGCGCGCAACCTCCCCGCATGAAAGAAAAAGCCGAAAGCATGAAAGGAAAACTGAAAACAAAAGAAAAGAATGAATCAAAAGGATCTAAAGCGTAGGGAAAGTGCCATAAATAACACCATCCTTATTCGTTGCCTCGTGTGGTCAGTGAACATGGTGCTTCCAAATGAAGTGAAGTACCCGCATGAAAAAAGAAATCAAATTAAGATAAGTAGAAGCCCATGAATACCACCCATTAGCACCACATTGTATAAACCGGTAATTTATTTCCATCTCCAGACGCCAATGTGAACCAAGGAGTGAAGAAAGATAAATTAAGACCGTCCCATATGATTGATGAATTGTATGTAATGTTGCCGCTGGGTCATCTTGCGCGATGTAGTCGAGAATGACGCTGTCGGTAGAGCAACTGAATGCCGTAATGAGACAAGTGAGAGAGATATTATCCGCTATTTACTGAATGAAGCCTCAGTGTGTTGCGAAGAAGAAGTGAGAAGTAGACTCGCGAGTCGATATTGACTCTAGAACACAAAAGTCTTGAATAGTGCGGTCAACCTGAACCCATGAAAAGAAAACTTCCAGGGAAGCAAGCAAGTAGATTTCACTAGGAAATCTTAAGACCGCAACTATTCCGAAGGCCGTGGTTAATCCAAAACCGATGAATCCCTCAAATTACTTGGTGGTGCCTTCTTGTGACGTCGACCAATAAGAGTTGCTCCATCGAGATTGAGTTCAAAAGCACCGCTTCTGCGTCCGACTTGTTGCCTTGCGGCTGCTGTTACCGAAGCACTGTGTTGTCCATATCCCCTCGCCGGGGCTGCAGAATTTGCATTCAATCTCGTATTTCGCAAAGCCTCGTCAACTTGTGCAACATCCGATTGCCCGGACCTCGGTACCTTGGACGATACCCCATTTTCATCGAGGCTGTCGTCATCGCTCGCCTCGGTATCTTCACCGGCTTCGTCATCTTCGTCATCATCGATAGGGTTGAGGGCGTTTATGCCAGCAGCTCCTCTGTAACCTTGCTTAAAATTTTTCTTTCGTTTGGCTTCCTCTTCTTGTCTGTGAACAGCATAACCAACGTCGAATACTTCACGTAGATTGACAGCACCAGGACTTCGGAAATCCATACGCCTACCAGCACCTGGTGACTCCATGAGGTCATTAAAGGCTCGTAAAGGAACACCCAACTGTCTTTGACGCTCAACGGCTGGAGTAGCAAGTGGTGGAGCGTCGAGCGCGGCGTATGTAGGTTGATCGATACCTCGAATCCAAGGATGCTGGAGGAATTGTTCGATTGTGTATCGTTTTACGGGATCCACAGTTAACAAGTGCGAGACAAGGTCTTGTGCAGATTTCGAAATTTCGTCCCACCATGGGGAAAGGAATGTGTATTGACCTCTTGCGACCTTTTCGGTCAACACCTGAATACTTTCGTCATAAAATGGTGGGAATCCGCAGAGCAAAGTGTAAAGGACACAACCCAATGCCCACATGTCGACACTCTTCGAATATCGCTCATCCTTTACAATTTCTGGGGCAGTATATCCGACTGTACCGCATGGGGTCATGGTTTGACTATCCCATACGACCTTACTCAACCCAAAATCGGCAATCTTGATCCTTCCAATACCACCTGATCCAACACCGTGGATGAATTCACCCTCATCAACCTTGTCTTCGTCTTCGGAGGATCTTGGTTTTGGAACCCTGGTTGGAACAACTGGAATTGGTTCAAACAAAATATTTTCTGGCTTAATGTCTCTAATATGACGTCAGTTGTGGCTTGGCAAGCGATAAATGATAAATGGGTATTCTCACCTGTGGACAACACCTTGTGTTTCGTGAAGATAATGCAATGCCTCTGCCACCTGTGTAATAACATGTCTTGATAGATTCTCACTGAAATAAGTAAGTCGTACAATTTGATGGAATAATTCTCCACCTGGTGCCAACTCCAAAACGAGGTAATAGTATTGTTTTGACTCGGAGAATTCGATGAGTTTTATGATATTGGGATGATCTAGATTTCGCATGATTGAAACCTCCTTGAGAATGTTTGCCCTCTGCCAGGAATCAAGTTAGCTTTGAATGATAATATGGAACGTCTTTGAAGAGAAGAATAAAATAAAGAGAATTCCGCACCTCCACTCCTTTAGGTTGCTTCTTGTTGAACTTTGGATGAAGATGAGCATCGCCCTACCACACATGTTGGCACGGTTCAAGAGAGTAATAAGACAACAATGGAAGATCCCGTAGGTACTTACCTGATTAGAGTTCATCTCAAATTTTCGAACGACTTTAATTGCCACCTCTCCAATTTTTCCTTCTTTATCTCTGGCCTTGTAGACGTTACTGAATGCTCCATCGCCCATCTTCTCGATAAGTTGCCATCGTTCCAATCCCGGATACAGCGGCAATCTGTTCTTGTTCTCATTCTCTTCTGCCAATAGTTTTGCCAATGCTTCCTGATCAACTCTGGACTGTCCGATCCTTTGGTTCTCTGCCGCCGCGTGAGCTGCTGCGTTTGCGGCTCGTGCTCCTCTATGTCTCCCGTCTTCATTCGCGACGGAGTATGCATCACCACCAGGTACTTGGTGTGCTTGGTGGGCCATCACGTTCGGATCTGACCTGGTAGCGTAATGTTGAGCAACAGTTGGAGGGGCAGGCGACGATTTCTTCGATGTATCTTCGTTCGCCTTGGCGCCTCCCTTTCCTGGACCTAGTATTAGCGTTTAAAGTCTGGCAAGTGGGAAGGAAAAGCCAATGAAAGGCTATTTGGATGCAAATTTGCAATTTGGTTGTCGATGTTTAAACATACCACGATGGAGGGCATTTTTAATGGCCTGCGAAAGGGAAGACATTTTAGTAAATCTTTCGGATAATTTGGTGGATAAATCTTATAAGAAGGATTGTAAAACGGAATTCAATTTCCAGTGAGACAAGAGGGGAAAAAAGAGGTAGAGACTAGGATAAGCAGGGGTCGGGAATTTGTAAGATTAGAAAAAAGATTGTAGGTAATTTGTGATTGTTTGTGATTTGTGATATTGTGATAGTGAAATATAGTAATAAGCAAGGAAGGTGCAATGCAATATAATGAATGAATGTACTTGAGCAATATCAATACAATCAATATATTTAAAGAATAACCAAAAATGGAATTGCTTATATAACAGTTTAATAAGCAAGGTAGGTAGGTAGGTAAAGTAGTAAAGTACTAGGCACTAGGTAGGTGAATATCAATACCGGTAACAGATAGATAACTACCCAGGTAGACAGAATGACTTTTCTCCGAGTTGAATACCGGTAACTTGGGCCCTGGGTTGGGAGATATGGAGATATGACGGGAAGCCCATTTCCGTCATATGACGGAAAGGCTATGACTATGACGGAAGGCTATGTATGTGTATGTATGTATGAGCCTATGACGGAAGATTACCGATGACGATATCGTATCGTTACAGTACCTAAATTACTGAGTTACCAGTATCTCCTTTTGTTTCGTTTTTGTCCCGTCTACAATTACAATAAACTTATTGATTGGGTAGGAAAGTATATTTTGGGAAGTAAATAATACATAATTCAACCAGTTAGGCAATTATTGATCTGCCAAGAAATCCCACATCTCCCAAAGTTCCCAAATAAAATGCCACTAGAGAATAATTAGTTACTGTAGTCTTCATTCTGACCCGCATTTGTAAATTAAGCTTACCTACTTTGAGTAAATATTATGACGTAGAGTAGGCAACCCGTCATGAAATTCGAAATGAGCTCTCATTCGTAACTTCCTACTTCAAAAATTAAATCTCATTTTGAAGTCAATTACATCCCCTCCATTCCCCTTACTTTCCCCCCGCCCCAACTCCCAGCACTGGCTGGCTGGCAGGAAGCCTGTCATACGCCAACATGCATCAAAAAGACCTAGCAAAGGAGACAAATAAGTCGGGTGAAAACGCAAGTTAAGAAATTATATACTGACATTCAAGTCCCGCATAGCCAGCTACGTGCTGTGTGTCCTGACTGAATGTGATAAGGTGGCTATGTATGATCGCCCAGGTTGTCGACGAAACTTTCGAGATAGTCCAGGGAGGATGCACGAATTAATCCGGCTTGTCTTCGATAATGATGATATATGAAGGAGGATACACGAATTAATCCGGCTTGTCTTCGATACTGGTGATGTATGATGTCTTCGATAATGATGATGTATGTCATATGGCGAAAGAAGTTTATGTGGTGAAGAAGTGCCGTGTAATAACACATCCCAGAAACCTGTGTGGTTTGGCCGAGGGGCCTATGAAGTACGAACCAACACCGGTGAGAGATGAAGGTGAGGCTTGGATATGATATTGTTGCCAGCGGGGTGGAGAGAAGATTCTTTGGATCTGAGTTGTACCTCACGAGGTGAGATCCAGATGAGAAGATGAATATGATGAGTGAGAGAGATGAATCCTCTTGTATTTATACTCAAGTACAATGCGATCGGTGATCGAAACACATCGAAAAATGCCTGATAGCTAGTAGCTACGTTGACGGTATCTTCACACATATTGGTTATGGTCCCGGTATTGTCCGGTGCTTGATTGATCATACAGCCAGGTTACTAGAATGCTATAGGCTTGGCGGTTCTTACTATTTTAATTCGAACACAAATGAAGCTTTTAGAATTCGAAAAGAGAGTGAAAGAGAGAGACTTGTGGTTATGATTGGTAACATTTCACAATGCGAAGACTTTTTTTTTTTGAGAGGATGATGAAAGTAGATCTGGCCTTCCCCCCCTCCCATGATCAACAACAAACGATTGTCAAGTTGAGCAATTCGCCCCCTCAACCGACCCCCAGCCCCACCTTCTTCACGAGCGTCATTCTTGAGGTTTAGCGATTTCTCAAGGCCGATCTACGGGTACGGGACACCATATCTCAACTCGGCCTTGCTAAGCTTTAAATTTCAATCCATCCGATTGATCAAATACAAGATCAGATGATCTAACCAAGCAAAAAATGACATACTCTTACTAACAATAAGCAATCAAACAAGTTAAGATGAGTCAAAAAACAAGAGCTATAGTAGATATTAACTAAATATTATAGTCTCTCGAAATCTCTTATAGTTAGGTATATCATGATATGCTATACAATGTTACCAGTTTCATGTATTGCCTCTTGTCAGTCCGAATCGATCGATTGTTATGATTAAGATTTTCGGGCTAGTGCCTCGTCGGGAACTAATGGCAAACCCGAATACCTGGCCATTGCCATTTCCAACTGAAATCTACTCATTCAAAATTCTAGGCGCTACATATTCAGGGGGAGCTACTTTCTAGCGCAAACTACAATCCTGATTAAGTTTCTGTCTTCATCTGGTAGCGCCATTGATGTTCTGTGTCACTAGGAGACTTTCGCCAAGAAGGGACACATCTCCTCGAGAATTCATCTGAACACATCTATATAAACCTCTTTCCCTCCCTCTGTTTCTTCTTCAGTTTGTCTACACACAACATATACATCAAGAACTGAGAGGGAATATCGATAACCTGTAAGTAGTAAGTACAGTACCTGCGAGCTTTACACCACCAATTCTAACAATTTAACAATGAAGTCAACGACATATTCCCAGTCATATTCTTACAATGTCGATGTGATTATCACTGTCGATATCGACACTAATACCGTCAATGTCATTGTCGATGTCGATATCCACACCGAGGCCAATCTCAATGCCAATTTCAATTTTAATTTCAATGTCAATGTCAATGCCAACGTCAATGCCGACATGATATCGAATGCTACTCAGGACAGGCAGGACAGTAGGAAATGGCTTCACGACGCGACATACCTAGATAAACCTCCCCATCAACGGTAATAGTCGGCTCTCCATGGAACAGCCGCCTGCTTCCCAATTGGGGAAAGCGATTGCCCCCCTTCAAATAGTGTAGTTGAGAAGGATTGTTGAGTTAAAGGGCTTGGATTGATTTTCAAAACTTTTTATTTTCTATCATATTGAAGGGGACAATCGCTTTCCTCGACTAGGAACCAAGCGGCTATCCCATGGACAGCCGACTATTAACAATATAGCTGTATTCGAATTGGACCTGCTCGTTCAGGAAGACTGGTCGAGGGAAAGAATGTGAGATACAAGGCAAGTCAAGTGGGTAGATGTGTATAGATTAGCTGTACCTCAAAAAAATTTCCTCGACCAGTCTTTGTAAACGAGCAGCAACAATATACTCTAACTTGGAATATTACCCACAGGGACTACCCAGTAATTACTCAAAAGCCAATTCAAGGGAAAGGGCTGGAGGGGGTTGAAAGCGTAGTTGAAGGATATTACGAATATGCATCTGCCTAGTAGGCTTAGAAATAAATACAATGCTTGAGAGAGGGTATGGAGTACAACATGAAAAATGGAAGGGTGCCAGTTGGATTATAGGCATGGACTTCCAAGGCATTCAAGGTATTCAAGGCAGTATACACTGAAAATGGGCGGTACGAGGTGACCACAGGGGATTTTCAAGGACGATTCAAGGGGATGTACTTTCATTCCTTTGTTCTTTTCTAATAGTTGTCAGTGTTGGGATATAGATGAGTATAATCATATAATCATTATGTTGAGCATACTACTCGAGTATATCACATGAACTATATAAAGTTTTCCATCTTCAAATATCAATAACTTCATTTTATATAATACCGTAAAACCAACTTTACAATCTTAATATGATCTGAACTATTTGATGACATTGATGTCAGTGACACGGAAGCTTGATATTTAACGATCAATTAAATAATATCAAAATCTGAATTGTAAATACATAACATCATACCATACTACTCATACCACCAGAAATTCCGCAACTCGATAATAAACTACAAGGGAGTAACCTACCGGTAAATCTTTTAGTTCCCGAGCTGCAAATTTTCTGGCGATATGAGTATATTATATCAATAAACCCCAACTCCCAAAAAAGCTAGACGACTCGAGTACTAGTAGTAAATAGTGTATGCAAAGTTTTCGTGTGTTTGGTTATTAGCTAGCTTGATTTAGTTAATTAGAAATTAGAATTAAGGATTTTCTCCTAGAGTATAGTATTATAAATTAGCTCGACACTAATTAGTGATTAGATAACAACGGCGAAAAAGAAAAGAAAAAGCTCAATTCTTAGAACTAGGTAATGACTAAGTAAAGTCTATTTCGATATTAATTACTAGCAAAATACTCGGCAATACTCTCTTTTTCCCCATATTTTAAGTTCTGACTAATACCGGTACTTGTTACCGGTATACTTATATATAAATTTTGATGGATACAAGCAAGTACCGGTACCCCTGTCCAACTCAATCCCAGTCTACCGGCGGGTACTAAAAGAATAAGAATAGGAATCTGGGGTTACAACTTACTAGTAGGTAGTAGGCTAGTAAGTGAAATCTGGGGGTGGAATCTCAATTGGTGTACCGTCTTACCTCAAGTAAATAATAACTGAGGTTGGGTCCACTGGCAGCCGCAATTGATCTAGCTGTTGATCAAGTCAGTCAAAAGCCGAACTGATTATAATATGATTGGAAGGATTCTGGGAGATAAAGTTCATTTTTGGCTCTATATTTTTGTACTGTATTAATAATTAAAACTGGGGTGTAATTATAGGTTAGCTTTGTCCAAATACGGTTGGACTGAATGAACCTTAGTTGGTTGAGATAAGACGGTATTGGTATTGGTATATTGTATTCTATCATTGTTCTGTGTATAAATGAAATATTCTGGGATATACTAGTACTGTAGTATATTTTATTGTTATTAATACCGGTAGCTGATTTTCTAGCAATACTTCCTCCCCCATCTAACCCCCATCCCCTACAAAATACTAATCTAATCTAATCTAATCTAATCGTATCGTATCGTAGAAACATAACATTATTTAAACTTCAAACCTCAGATTCAATTTCTCGCAGCTCTTGACACCCACCCACGAATTATTAAATATCTTCATTATCCCTGGTATCCCATCATATCCCATCATATCCCATTCAAATGAAAAATCAATCATCCCCATACCTCCAAAGTCAAATCGCCATAGCCAAACCACGCTACTCGCCAGTCTCTCTAAACTCTTAGCCGCAGCTCACAGCCCGCAGCCCGCAAGCCCTAGGACCTAGGACTAAGTTGCGTTGGAGATACTATACTTTTATATTAAAATATAGAAACAACTTTACTAATCTAACAGGAAACAAATCTCCCCAATATGTCATCATCGCAGCAATACAGTAGTGATAATGAAAGACACCGGCTATATATGATATGTAGATCTCGCGCTACATAGTTTGATAATCGCTGTACTCTTTTTTGATTATGATATTTTTTCTGTTTCTTATAGTTACACGCTGATGGGGATAGTGATATGTGCCTTTCTGTTGGTGCTGGTATGTATATGTTTGCCATATATGCCTATACACATAAGCGATCCCCTCCCCCTTCCTCGTAGTACTCTCTATCATTATCTTGATCTCCCTTTCCATAATCGTTGATAGTTCTATTTTCCATTACCGGTTTTCGAAGCCCCAATTCATATCCTATCCTATCCTATCCCCGCTCTACTTCACCCCATTCTTCACTTTACTGCCTCCCTACTTCACCTCCCCCATCTGCAAGACCCTACCACCAGAACCATCGAAACCGCCATAGAAATACTTGATGTAAGAAAAGGGATGATTAGTCTTTTGTACGTAATTAAGATAATAAATCGATAAACGATAAAATAATCGTACCTCCCTTATCCCACACCTCTCCTCCTCCTCCTCCTCCTCCTCCTCCTCCTCCTCCTCCTCCTCCTCCTCCTCCCATCCTTACCCTCAGTCCCCTCTTCACCCTTTACAATTACACATCAGCCCTTCCCCCTAAACACACACACCTCCATATCCCCCTCCATATCCCCCCATCATCCTCTTCATACCCCCTTCATACCCTGTTCAACCATAGATCAAATCACCCACACAAAACCAAATAAAACCAAACCAAGGAATTCAAACGACGAACCAGAAAAGAAGTGGAAACGCGACGGAGGGAATAGATCACTACTCATATAAAATATATGTAAAACCAGCAGGATGAACTAGTCATGAATTACTTACACCATAACCTATCTATCAATTCAGGTGCTTTCGATCATAACATGACATTGCACCACCCATCTATCTTTTTTCTTCCCTCTAAGTCCTACTATCTATCCCCTTATCACTCACTCAGTACCAACCCACTCACTCAATCATACATACATACAGACATACATACCCCCAAATATCCTCAACCCATACCATACCATACCGCGTACTCGCACCCGTAACCCAAGCAGCACGATTCTTTTAACCCCATTCAATCCAATCCACCAGGCAAGATCCATCATCTTCATCTTCATCCCCCGCGCTGGATATCCATACCCTACCAAGTCTAAGCCCCCCATCTTCGTCAATCTCATATCATACTTTTTGTCGTGCCTCCGCAGATATCTCCCCTGATACCTCCCCTCATGCCATGTGCCATATACCATATACCATATACCATATACCATGTACTCGAGTACCACAAATCCCCATTCCTATCCCCATGTCCCATATCCAACTCTTAATTCTCTTTCCCCCCCATACTCACATCATCTCCAACGCCCAACCTCCAAACCCACCTACCACATACAAACACCACATACCTACCACCACCCACCCACCACACACAAATCCAAAATATCCAAGCCCTCCAAAACCCACCCCGAAAATCTCAAAGTTCAAAGACCGATAAATATATCATGGCATACACAATCAATAATAATTCCCAATGATATCAAAAACCGCACAATATAAAAACAAAATATAAAGTAAGATCACGACAAAGACAAAGACACCGCACACCCACCGCACAATCAAAAAGTGTAAATAAAGCATTACCCCCTTCCGCCTAGGAAATGAAGAAGACTGTGATGTATGCATAAATATATTGACGCGCTCGCCCCTTCACCCTTATCGCCAAAACGTCCTAACTAATATGACTGCTGCATCATGACAGGATAGAAAGATGAAAACGCCTCGAAACGATTATATCATAAGACTCATGAGACATATTCTTATTAAACCCCTACCACACCCCTCTGCCTTCACAGATTATCAAATCAACCCGGCTCGCGCTGCCTCCCCGCCGCCGTCACCAAGCACCTCCTCCATCCTCGCCTTCCCCTTACCAATGCCCCCTTCACCAACTCCCATCCTCCTTGCCACATATCTCTGCGCCACAACACCCACCCCTAAACTGAGCGTCTCCTCCACCCATTCCGCAACCCATTCGCGCGGATCGACTCCACCACTTGCTATAATTTGCATGATTTCCTCCGGTAACCCTGTGTGCGCCTCTTCTGACTCTGCACCGAAGAATCCGCTCTTTTCTTCCGAGGGTGATGATGGAGATACGGGAGTTAGGGGAGGGGGGGCATCCAGCCATTGAATCCATTTTGCGGGAATGGCTTGGGTGAGTGTATAGAACGTGATGGCGTGGACTGGATCTTTGAGGTAAATAGCGAAGGAGATTAATTCATCCGGTTTCGGCTTATCATCAACCACAACACCTTCTTTCTCTGCTACCGGACCTCCTTGAAACAAATCCCCAGGGGCTTCATGAGTAATTGCTTGAACGGCCATGAAGATATCGCTGCTGCGGACTGGATTTGATTCGCTGAGATCTTCGGTAGCTCTTTGAGCTGCAAGCTCTAGTCCGCCATGCGCGTCGAAATATTCCTTTGAATAAGCTTCTGCGCTTACGCGAACGAGTTTCGTTCCTTCGATGAGTCCTTTCACGGAGCCAATATCGCGATTGTCGTTTCCTACGCGCCACCATGGTCCATCGCTCCATCCCGCAGTGCCCCCTGTATAGCCAGCTTCGGATGCGCGACGTGCTGTTGATTCGTGACCACGTTGGATGACAAGTAAATCTCCTCCCTCAACTTGAGCCATCACACGGGAAAATGTTGAATAGATGAGAGGGTCGAGAGAAGGATATCCGATGAAATCATGGGTGATGTGGATTTGGAGTCGCTCGTGGGATGAAATAGGTGGTGCGAGAGTGTGAAGAATATTTGTAAAGGTTGGAAGAGCTCTTGACCTCAACTCACCCCCTTCACGTTCAATTAGCATATCCCTCGCTTGCCAGTTGATCAAATCAAGATCTTACCAAAACCTCTAAGAACTCCAACATTTCCTTTTACCTGTTCCGCCCATCGTTTAGCTTCTTCATTTTGTTGAATTTCCTTGACTGCAGCTTGAGCTTGGTTGACTGCTGCACTGGCGGTCGCTGTTGCTGTTGCGAAGACGCTTCCCCATGACCATCCCCCACCCGCCGATGGGGTTTCAGTAGCAGGTTGAGCAATCGGTGCTTTCTTTTCCACTTCCTGAAGATCGCTACTAGTTGCTGAAGGGGTAAAACTAGTATGGAATGATCGAGTACTGTCAACAGACTTTCGTGGTAAAGCAGGTTTCTCCTCGCTTGATCTCTCCTCACTTCTGCGAGAAGCTGGGGGAGGGGTTGCTGTATTTGAACGCTTTACTTGTTGAATTCGAGGTGTATGTGGTCTACTTGGTTGTTGCGCTCCAAGGTTTTCGAGTTCCGCAAGTAAATCCTGTTCTGATTGAGATGGTTGTTTCGTTTTATGTGATTTTGAAACTCCCTTGGAAGAAGGTACTTTAACTTTAACATCATTAATACCTTCCAAAAGTTCATTCAATTCATCATCCGTTGGAGCAGCCTTTGATTTCTTTGAAGCCATGATTGAAGTGATTGAATTGATTGACCAGCGATATCAATGATTCAATAGTGGTTGAGAATAAGTATCTACGAGTAGTATAAGCAGGAGTAAATGATATTCACCGACTTCGTTAGATAACAACTTCTTGATATGGGGGTGTGGCTAATGCAGCCTCATGTTAATATATGATTGGCTTCAGCCACAGCTATAGTGTCTATTTAAGCACCGCCACTTAACTAACAATTTATTACCACTTGACAATTCGAACCTCAATCGTAATAACCTTTTCAAAGCAGTAAAATGAGAATCTGACCAAACAACCAAACTTTTAGACAACATCGCTTTATGTCTTGAAACTAGCATATAATTGATCATTGAACTCTCTTGCTAATTCTCCTCTAACTTTTTAATATCAATTTGCAACCTCTCAATCAAATATCTTGGCACACACTTTTTTTGCCCGTTGCATTAACTAACCTGCAAAACGGACGTCTGAGACCTGTGGTCAAAAACTCGAACTCTTTCATTTGGAGCCAGCACAACAATTGTGTTGGTTCAATATTCTTGCAACCAATTCACAGAGAAACATTTTCAATCCTCTTGTTGTCAACATGGCACGAATCAAGGTTCCTCCTATTGCCACTCAGGATTCTACGTCTACCCTTGAGAAAAGAGTTGGTTCTTCCGAGTCTCAAGAAACTTCATCTATCTCTTTTACGTCAATTTCATCAACGCCAACATGCCCCAATTGCAGTGCTACTTTCGCAGAGTCTACGGAAACAGTGAGTCTATCTTTAGTATACTCTTATCTCCTTCATATCAAATCAATTTACATCATACTCACAATATGTAGGACTTTCTTCATCACGTGGCTGCATGCAGTCGACCATCAACTGCGGAATCAGTGGGAACTGTTACTACTTCAGGTAGTTCTTTATCACCACCTCCCACTTCACCAGGAACCGCCATTTCTGCATTAAAACATTTGTCTAATAGGGATGTCCATTTCAACTACAATGCAGTTCAGGAGCCTGCTATTGCCAATGCCGACGAAGAAAATTTAAACTCGAATGCTCATGATCTGATTCAACCATATATTGACCCAAACTCCAAATTTGACTATTACGATCAAATTGAAGGGCATGAAGAACTTGCCGTGGATATCAACGATCCAGACATTGGCCTTAAGTTCAAATATTCAAAACTCCCCCCGGTCTCACACTTCGAGAAATTTCTCAAGAACCCCAGCGAATTGTCATATGCCGAAACGTACAGAAGGACTGAGATAGTTAGTATGGTAAGTCACCTTTGCTGCTTCATGGCCTCAAATTTACCATCCGAGTTCACAATTGATATCTTGGGCTTCATGCTGTGTGAGGTAGAACATAACGACTAACCATTCCCATAGAAAGTTTTGGCTGTTTGGCAAAAAGAGTTTGATGTAATCGACGAAGAGATTTACGCATTTGAATCTCAAGAGAAAGAAAGGGTTCAAATGGAAAAAGAAACCGAGAAAGCTGCAGAAGAAGCAGACAGAGTTGCCGAGCAATTGGAAAAAGATGATTTGGTAGCTATGGCAAAAGAATGGGCCATTGAATTAAAGTTCAAGGCGCCAGAATGGTTGGCTTTGATGAATCAGTTTGATGAAGATGACGAATACCGCCAGCGTCTCGAAAGCCTTCGAGACCCACAATTCAGGGCGAAACTTCAGAAGCAAGCGTTTGTCAGACAACAAGAGAAGCAAAAGCTTCTACAAAAGGAGTGGAAAGAGTTGAACAAGCCAAAACTTCTCAGCGAACCGCTTCCTGAGATCAAATTGACAAAAGAGGAGATAGAAGCCGAGAAGAGAAAGGCAGGACGTTTGATGGATTCTACCAAGTGGAATGATATGAAGGAAGCAGATGTATATGGATTTGAATATTCTTCTCATCCAAAACATCTTGGGGCGCAACCGATTCCGATAGCCTCTAGAAAGCGTGGCTTTGGAGAAGTGGATATGAGTGAAGGTAGAAGTGGTCGAGCTCAACGAATGGCGACTAGGAAAATGTACGATCAGAGTACACCAGAGGACGAATCGGATACTTTACCAGCAAAAAGACAACGAAAGATGCGGGTACTTGATGATGATCTTGGAGAGTTATCAAAAGTTTCTCGAAAACAGAGCCGAAGTCAGACTCCTGTTCGAAGAACCTTTGCATCCGGAAAACCCATTGGAAGGCCGCCGAAATCCCTTTCAAAGCTCAAAGATGTTCAACTTGCTTCGGGTGAAGACGAACCAATGCCGGAAGATGATGCTATGAGAGGCGAAGACATTTCTCGACACCTTCTGCCGGCCGAGCAGACACAATTGCAGCAATCGGCCGAATCCCTTGTCAATCAAATCGCCGAAAAATTGCCCGTTGAACCGGTTGTGAAGAAGAAGCATGCAGGTGGTAGGCCACGGAAGCATCCGCTCCCTGTTCCTGCTCCTGTGACCGCTGTTGACATTATCACCTCTGCAGAAGAAGTTACCACCGCACCATCCGAGACGCCCGCAGCAATCGTACCCCCTATAAAGCCTAAGATTAGAGTTATCAAACCAAAGAAGCAACTAGCCAAGTCAGCCAAGTCAGCCAAATCCGGTAGTCGCGTCAGGAAGGAAGCTAATATCGAACCAAGTGCCGAGACTGAAGAAGAGAATGCAATCCTGCCAACTACCGAACACGATGAGGATTCGCACTCACAGAGAACTGAACCTGTCAATTCAAGGCCCAGTAGCTCGTCGTCGCAGGCAACTATCTCTTCTTATGGTAATCGTCACAACAATCGTTCCTCTACCCGTGAGCAAGCCCTAATACGTGAAACTCGAACAGCCGCTCGAAACCGTGCTGCTGCATCTGTTGAAAAAATCGTCTCAACTCAGGACTCTCCCAGGAAGGCTGCAAGAGGAACGCGTAAGAGTGGATCGAGCGAAACTGCTGTTACCGCTTCTCAATTACCAAAAGTACGGAAGCCACGTGGAAAACAGGCAGCAAGCGCGGAGAACGTAGAAGTGGAACCGTCACACGAACCAGTCATCAAAAAGGAAGCCACCCCTGTCGCTCATCCAATCATCTCACCCCCTTCATCCCGAATTAAACGCAAGCGGATATCATCTGAAGCCGTTACCGAAACACTAAATGCCTCCCCTACCAAAAAGGCTCGCAAAAGTCGTCCTAGCAAATCATTGTCAACACCTACAGATGGACCTGCTTTCATATCCACTGCATCGCCTAAGACCAAGCCAAATAAGAAAGCCAAAGGACCTCTTGCAAGAATCCTTCCACCTCGTGAACTCAGCACTCGTGCCCGTCGGGCTCCAAAAGCGGTTCGAAATGCCGATGGTGCTGCTAATGAAAATGATGAGGATGAGGGCGAAGATGATTTGAACCTCCCAGCAACGGAATACGAAAGATATCTGGCTTTGGCTGATCCAAAAAGCTCCGTTACATTGGGTAAAAGGGTTAGAAAAAGTGTTATTGATCTAAGAACAGCGATGGAAGGTGGTGATGATGAGGATGGGGATGACGAGTTTGAAGGATGATCGAGTTTGGGAAGTTCGATCTCATCAGTCGTGGTGGCCCAGTTTCACCGCTAGATCGAATACCTGTGTTACAACGCTCATTCAATCTTTGATCTTCGACTATTCCCCCGACTACAATTGTCTTACCTCACACCTCGCTAGAGCCTCCCAGAAACACTGGCAACCCGGAATCTTTGCTACCCTTTCCAACTAGAAGCAAACATATTTGCTTTTTTCGTCGATATTCATCGATTGAACTTACATAAACCAAAATGGGCCTGAAACCATCACTTAAGGCATTTTTCACAATAAACGACCATGGTTTTTTATTGCAACACGTACATAAATTGAGCGGGCTTTACGGAGTATCGCTGCCAGCTTCTCACTTACATTTTTGTTTTACTTTTTATCTCTGATTGTCCTCAATCAATGCACGCGGATCATTGGACATAGATCACGGCGCCGTCTTTAGGCTCTGGCGCAAGAATTGGATTTATCTTGATTTATATATGGGACGGACGGACGGGGGCTAACTCGCTCAATCATTGTCACTATTTCTCTGGGACAAGGGTGATTGGAGGGGCATTGTATTATCTTAATAATTACATGAGTATGGACTCGAATATTGCATACATATGCATTGGAGGATTGGGACTGGAGCAAAAGGCTATTTTCTGTTTATACATATATCTCATAAGCCTTGGAGTTTTGGTCGGGGAGCACCTGGACCATTGTTTTCCTGTTTTTACTCTTTTGTACATAGGATTGCGAAGATGGATCATGGATCATGGACGATGGATGATATGAGCGCATCTTGGAGATAGTATGACATAGAAAATCAAATACTTGATTTTATTTTCGATACATAATTTGAACATATTTGCAACTCGAAAGATGAAATGAGATCTGCACTTTAGTGATACCAGTATATGCTCCCATAGATAATCCGTGGGGCGGATTATCTATTAGAACTATAGAGTATCTATTGGGATTTCAAAATAATCCGTTCTATATAGATATCTGTTTATATTAATATAACTTTAATAAGCGTTGTGGTGTTGAGGCTGCCCTTTTCGTTTTGGTCGCGTAGAAGCCCCAAACCCCTTGTCGCCTCTATCACTCTTGATTCCTCCTTTCAACGCGATACCATTACATCGCAAGACATTCCAAGACCCTTCTGCCATCCGCCTTCAAGCTTTCGTAGCCGGCCCCCTTTCCCCCCAGGCGTAATCCTTTCGAAGGCGTTCAAATAGGCCTAGTGGTGCGTTCATTCCATGCAGGGAACTAAGCTTTATGTTAGAGTAGAAAGCAAACCAACCCAACACTACTCAAGTATAAGATAAGAGTAGCATATTGTCATACGTCTCACCGTCTGCCGCTTTCACATAGTAACAAAACAATTGGTCCTTTTCTCGGAAAGAATCAAGAGCTATATTACAGTCAACAAGCACTTGACATTTCCTGATCCGTGTCTCGTCGTCGAATGTTCCCGCCCAGCGAATATAGTCGGTCTGAGGATCGAAGTCTCTCCTAATCTGTGTTTGACATGCGTGATTCGCAAGCTTGATTTGATCGTGGTTCGAGTGGCATGCGATGAATATTCGTTGCGCCATCTTAGATGGGGAGAAACTTTGCGTGTTGCGCAGGTTGTCGATAAAGTTCTGGGTATGTAGTAAACAAATCGGCGAGTCAGCTTCATGTGCTGCTTTTGTCTAGAGTTCGTAATCTTATCTTATCTGATCTGATCGGATTTAATCTGATTTGATTTTCCTTTAGACATCAATTTGAAATCTTATCTTCGTCTGGTTGATTGGTTGGTTGATTGGTTGGAGAAAGAGGGGGCTTTCAACTTACAGCTAGCTCTCTTCGGGATTCAAACGATATAGAAGATTTATCAAGATATATATCTATCTATCTCTATCTATTTTTATTATATTCTATTTATTTAACTATTGTATTATATTAATATTTACAATCTTGTCTTAGATACATTGCGTTTCATTACTCGTACATGCTACTGTAATTTGATTGCGAGACCATGCATTCATCTATGATTGTAACTTTCATCATATCATATGAAAGGATATAAGATATGAAATATAAATCCCAAACCTATCAAAATATATAGCTGTAGCTGAAACATATATACCCTCATTGTCTACTATTGAAAAATAAATATTGGCTCAGATCATTTCCTAGAAACTTGATATTTTCATCGGAAGCTTATGCCCATTATTTCTCCTCCTCAAGCTCAAGCTCAATGAACAGCCCCATCCCTGCGACGAGTCCCCCCAAACCCACCCGCCGTCGAATTTCTCACCCCCAGCACACTAGCCACAAATCCCACTCCCCCAAACGCCACACAAAACCACAACCCCGTACTATACCTCTCTATATTATCCTTCCCATCCCCATCCCCATCCCCCTCCCCTCCATCCACCACCGCCGTCACCACCGCACTACTCAACGCCAACCCCACCCCTGACCCAATCTGAAACGCCGTATTAATCATCCCCCCACAAAGACTCTTCATATCATGTTCTACACTCGACAGCAAAATAATCGTACAAGCACAATAGACAATCGTGACGGCCGCAACAACCAGGAGCGAGGTGGGCAGGACATGCGTCCAGAAACTGGTGGAAGTACGCGTTAGGAGCGCGGCCGGGATCGGCGATGTCATCATCATGAGCATGCCGAGGAGTAGTACGCTTTTGGTGTTGTAGCGTTCGAGGATGGGTCCGACGGACATGGAGAAGATGAAGCCGGTTAGGCCCATGGGGAGGAAATAGAGGGCGGTGGTGCCCGGGGAGAGCTGGTTCACTTCTTGGGCGATGAGCACGATGTAGTAGAGGACGGTTTGGTAGCCGCCGTAGCATACTTGGAGGTTGGTGTTAGTATTATTTTTTTGGGAATTGATGAGTGTGAGGGATAGATGGGAAGAGGATTGGAAGGAAAGGAAAGGAAAGGAAAGTGAAAGAGTATACATAAATAAATATGAACATACCAAAACCCGAAATCCACAACGCGGCGAAATTTTGAATTTTCCAAAGAGAAAGCGGCATGATGGGATGCGAAGCTCTCTTTTCCACATATACAAAAATGCCCAGGACAGCCACCGACAGGATCAATAAAACGATAATGAAAGCTTTACTCCAACCATACACGCCACCACTCGATAGAACAAACGAAAGAAGAATCAGACCACCCGTCGAAAGTCCCGCTCCCAATAAATCCAAGCTCGGTTTCTCCTGACCCTCCAACCGATCTTTCGGCAAAATAGCCTGACCCAAGAAACCCAACGAACCCGTCAGCGCCACCGAAACATAGAAAAGATATCTCCAACCCAACGACCCCGTCAAGAAACCACCAAAAATCAGACCCGCGCAGAAACCCACCGCGCCCGACGCCGCGAAGAACGATAATGCAATCGTACGATCCTTCGCCACGAAATACGACGAGATAATGCCCACGGCCGACGGAACCGTCATTGCCGCCCCGATGCCCTGCAATGCGCGGAAGATGGCTAGTTGGATAAACGACGTTGCGAATCCGTTGGCGATGGTCCAGATTGAGATCCACAACATCCCTATACAAAAAATAAGTTTCCGTCCAAATCGATCGCTGAGTACGCCGGCCAGTAAGAGAAATCCTCCAAAGGTTAATGTGTATGCGCTGATTAACCATTGCAAATCACTCGCTTTCGCTCCAAATTCCTTTTGGATGGCTGGTAAACTGATATTCACCCCTGTCATAAAAACATTATCCATGAGCTGTGCTCCACAAGTCGTGAGGAGAATCAATGCTCCTCGGAGACTCTTGATACTGCCGACATCTGGGTATGAAGTTTCCGCCAGGTTCCTCAACGGTTCTTCGATTTGGAGTTCGGAATATTCGCGAGGAGTGCTATTTCCTGTGCCATTTCCATTTCCATGAGAATGCAGACCAGGCGTATGAACCACCGAGGAAGGAGAAGGAGGACGTGTCGAATACGGCGTATTGAATTCGCTCGGTAATTCCCTAATTGTACTAATAGGCCCAGGTTTTACCGCCTGAGGAAATGAAATCGTCGTATTTCCATTATCCCTTTCCATCTCCCCCCCAAAGGACTCCCCCCGCGCCCCAAGAAACGCATCCCTCCCACCACCAACCACACCCACACCCCCCCTCAAGCCCTCCAAACCCTCCAAGCCCTGCAGATCCTCCGCACGAATCCCCTCGCGAAAAGCTCTCCGCCCAGAAACATTTGAACGCCGACGCGGCTGCGTTTCCAAATCCCCTACCCCTACTCCTACTCCTACTCCTACACCTACACCTACACCTACACCTACACCTGTGCCATGAACATCCTCACATGGGGAACCACTTCTCCTCCGTTCAGAAACCGGATGAGTGTGTAGCGAGCTCGTTGAAGCATCATTATTCAAAACTGACGTTACAAAAATAAATAATTAGCTTTGAAATTTACCTTGCGGATCGTGAGGAGTGAGTGGCCAAGGGGGTCAATGCTTACTAGACATCTTAATTCAAATTTATATACAGTACAGCACGACCAAAATCCCAATTGATATATTTCCAACAATTGACAAGGCAAAAGTAATATAATATAAGAAATATCTACGATTAGATAGCCCTCGAACATAAAAAGACATCTCAAATTTCATTTCACATGCATATGCCACCCATCCACTCACCCACGCACCCACAAATTCCAAACCCCATAAATAACACCCAAAGAAAATTCAACATCAACATCAACGATAAGCCAGAAAATCCCCCCCACTACCACCCTTAACCCCCCTACTCGAGTACCTTATCAACCCATGAACTCTACAGGGCCTTTTTAATTTCTCCACCCAAAAAGGCTGAAAGGATCTCTTGGGATAATGATCCCTGAAGTACATGGATCAACGAGTCAAAAACTCAAAACATGGGCGAAAAGATCCACTTGTAAATAATGCTTGAAAATCCTAGTGGAGAATACAGTTCACCTCCTAGTTTTTTCTCAACGTCTGCATGTGATAACTTGATAAGATGGGACAAATACTCGAGTATGTATATATAAAATTAACAACTTTAAATTCATCTTCTCCGCATACTATAGTACTATGCTGTGTTATGCTTTACAGTACATACCATGCTATGCTATACCATTGAGCCAGATAAGAAATATATAGGTTTTCATCCGATTTATATACTCGAGACTCGAGTATATGTATCAACGTCTTCTTTGAAGTTTGATCGGTCCCTGGATTTAGTGATATACGGAGGGCTCGGATCGAATATCTACAGGTATAATAATATAGTAGGGACTTGAGCTTGCACTTGCAGCCTTATTAACTCTACATTTATCATATATGTAGGTATCTGTTAATATAAATGGCAGCTTGTAGCACTTGCAGAAGATAACCCAGTCCAGATTGGATTGCCGTTGTCCCTCACCTATTGCATATACACATTCACAAACACAAACTGAAACGTCGGTACGAGTAGGAGGATCGAATTTTGAAACTCTTGGATTTTCGAGTACATGTGACATTAAACCAACAACCAACGATCAGCACGGAAAGAATTCATCCAACTCATCCAGATCATCACATTCTAATATCATCCAATTCCATGCGCCACCATTATAATTTTGAATCAAACACTCCTTCCTGTACAAATTCCCACGCATCGGGAGGGGATATAACGCCGAAGAAAATGCCAAGTATATGCAAACGCCCTGACAGCGACGCGCCCCTTTTCCATATATTATTGCCAATTTTTGCGATCATAAGAATCCATTAACTCCTTCATTTCAGATTCATTGACCCAGATTGTGGCAGAACTATTGAAGAAAATCATATGATATAATGAGAAAAACGCAACGCGAAAAACAAAACAGTTTAGCGAATATAGTAAAAAGAAAATGAAGGAACCAAAAGTGGTGTTTTGTAAATCTGCCAAATATCAACATCTTCGTACTTGACCCTAAGTGATTTAGAGGTCGTTCACCGGAAATAGATCGTCGGAAATGAGTGATTGTATCGGCCGTTTGAGAAGATCGGATCATCATGAAGGCGGCACAGAATTTGCGGCTTTCTTAACTTAACCCTTCATCTTCTCCTCTTGTTTCTTTCTCGCATCGGCGACCTTTTGTTCGTCCTGTTTACGTTTTTCTTCAGCTTTTTGTACCTTTTTGGCCTTTTTCTCGGCTGCGGTGAATATCTTGTTCTCTGCGGCTCGCTGAGCTGGTGGAGGTTCGGATGCATCATGAGATATTGGTTGATGTTGTTCTTCTTTGGCTGGCTGTTTGCTTACAGGTGGTGTATCATTTTGTTGTGCGTCCTTGGCAGCTTGTTGTTTCGATTTCTCTTTGGCCTCCTCTGTAGCTTTTTGTGCTTCCTCTAGTTTCTTCGCTTTCTCTATCGCCTCATCTGAAGCTTTCTGTGCTCCCTCTAGTTTCTTCGCTTTCTCTATCGCCTCATCTGAAGCTTTCTGTGCTCCCTCTTGTTTTTTCGCTTTATCTATCGCTTCATCGGCAGCTTTCTTTGCTTCCTCCAGTTTCTTCGCGTTTTCTGCGGCTTGCTTGGTCTCCTCTGCCTTCTGCGCCTCGGTTTTAGGCGGTGGTTGAGCTGCCTTCGGTGGTTCCATTGGTATCTGGATGTCTTGCTTCACAGGGATCCATTCCATTTTATCATCGTCAAAATGGTGGCTTTGTATGTTAGTTAGCGGAGAAGTCCAAGGGCCAATATTGCAGCTTTATAAAACATACCCCTCAAAGTCCGTCAAGGTCAGCGATTTTTCATGGTATTCCGCCTCCAAAATCTCCTTGTACGCAAATGGAATTTTGGCGGGCGCACCCTCGAAGAATGTGTCCCGCAATGGGAAGATGTAGGTGTCCTATGATTATTAGCCCAGTTCGTCTAACTATTTTTAAAGTGAAATTACTCTGTATTCATGGCCATCCTTGCAGCTCATCATTCCTTCTCCGGCTGGATGTGTGTAGTTGTATCTCGCAGTTGTAATATCAATGAAAAGTCCACTCGTAGTATCGACCCATCGCGCGTCAATGACATTCAACTTGTCCGATTGCTCTCTGTTGACATAATGAGGGTTGATCTCTAGCATATAATCTCGACCTTCTGGGATACGCGGAGATTTGTAGTGGAAAACCGTCATGTTGTAGTAAGAGGCAAGAAAGTGCATGGAGGCTTCGGTAACTTGGACATCGGAGTCGGAATCCCATGGTAAAATCTAAAGACGTAAGACGTTTGCAAAATTTGGGTGAATTTTAAGGGTTGTTCATACCTTACGATTCCACCACCAACCCAGTAACGTGCCATGCATAAGCCATGTTTCCACCCCGATATCTGAGAAAGTAGCTAGGTAGGTTTGAATGAGATTCGAAAGTGCTTGTCTGCGTTCTCTATATCCCAATTGCTTGTCGGCGAAGCTGTAAAAGAAATATTAGGTTTTGCCATTGTGAATTGTAATAGATTTCTATAATGAAAGTACATACCGGCCATCATAATGTGGATGGAAGCTATCAACCTCATATTGTTAGCCTGCAATTCCGCTGTAATTTAAAAGTCCTTCATTTTGAGCCTTCAATAGAATTGTAAGGTACATACACACTCTCATCTGTCAGGATCAATTAGTAAGGTTTCGACCAATAAAAATATCATGAACCGGACAGTCCAGATAGAGAGATCCGTATCGTGGTCGCCATAAAGAACCTTAAAACCTTTTGGAAGAACTCACGAAAGTATTTCCCACTTGGATCACCTCTTCTCCCACTCATATCCTTATTCAGCTTGGTGCGCACACTGTAGAAGTCTGCATCTCGTTTTTGGATTGCCAGCGCTGACACAATTGACAAAAGTCCAGGTAAAGTGATGATCCAAGAAATGCGCATCTTCAATTATCACGATATCGTAATCAGCTAACAAGAGGACAACTTCGACAGGGTATATCAACCGTCTTGGCGCGGCTTTTCAAATATAGATGTGGGAGCAATAAATGAATTTGCCAAGAGATGTATGGTTGTCGTCTTCTCTATTGGGTGTGGAGAGAAGGATTAAGATGCCGTTATGTGCAAAGCAAAGAGGCACAAAAAGAGAGTGAGAGAGTACAAGGAGATATATAAGAATGTAAGAATTTCAAAATTGAGAATGAATAGCTAGTAGTAGCAAAAGAAAATGAGAAAGCTAACGTGGGGAAGCACACGATCAAGTACCCCTTTGGTTCCTCGTCACCCAAGACAAGGGGGGATTTTATTATTACTTCTATAAAATGTGATCAAGCAAGCAATAGCAGCGTTAAGCATATTTAATATTAAGGCGGCATGAGAAGGAAGCAAATATGTATTCGCCGCTTAAAAAGAATCAAACTAGTAAAGAAAATGGGATCATTATTGGATCATTATTGGATGAGTTTGGGAATCTTGTCGTTGGTTTTTGGTGGACTCATAGTTGGGTGATTGTGGGTTGAAGCATTATCAGCTTTAGCTTGCATTTATTAATAGAGGGACACAAGGAAGCAAACAAGTAAAGTCTAGAAGCAAGATACCGGGCTGGCCGAGTGTAGAGCTTCTACTTACTAGTCAGGTACAAGACCTCGTTAATGTCAAGATTCCCTTAGTTCTACGACCACAACATACAAAACTTAGAGTAAGTGTACTTGAGCATCAACTTTTCATCATGACACAACAGTAACATTTTAAAAAATATATTCATAGCACAGTGGCATCCATACGGCTAGGACAGGAAGATGCAACAAGTTCCAGTATTTTGTGCGTAAGCAGCAGATCAGACATATGGATTACGACGCTTTGAATCTAATCTTTTTCCCCTTCCCCTCCAAAAGGTTTCAGATTTTGATCTCTATCAGACGGACATCACTTTTTATTTTGAACGCCAAGAAAGGTATTTTGCTTGGATAAGATAACTGGCAATTGAGTGAGGGAGAAAGAATGCAAGGCGTGGAGTTGAAGGAAGAATGTTTGTTGATCATTACTGAATGGAGTTCACAACTGGGGAAAAAAGGCTGGGTATGGGTTGTATGGGTGGGTGTATGCATCCGTGTAGCAAGGTTGAGCTTGATTATTAGCCGCCGTTCGATGGGTGTGGTGGTGGGATGTGAAAGATATTCACGGTTCTTTGGTTCTTTGGTTCTTTGGTTCTTTGGTTCTTTGGTCTTTTGGAAGTAGGTAATTTTCAACTACCGTTTCTTTTTTTTTATTTCAGAAAAAAAACATACAAGTACCGGTACTCCGTCTATCACCCATAATTCAGTCGTGTCTTCAATAGATAGCCCCTTGATAAGCCAAGAAAAGCCACCAACATAAGCTTTTAGACGAACCTTGGTCAAACAAATAAAAAAGCTTACTTACGCCTTCCTTCTTGACTGTGTTCCTGAGTGGTTGTGATCTGATTCAAGGATTATCATTATATCTATCGAGTTAAATTCCTCCAATACATATCTAGATAAGTATTGTACCACGACAAATACGAAACTATAGTACTACGCAATGGGGTCCTTTTTACTCTTACGCATACCTACAGATCTATGGTAATGGTCTGACAACATTGCAAACAATGCAACTTACCAATCCAATCCAATCAATGCTGCTGACAATTGAATAGGAGGATGAAAATGGGAAAGAAAAGGAGATACGACCTTGGCTTCGAATTTAAAGGAGAAAAAAAAAACTCAGAAACCTCAAAGCCTCATCTTTGAGAATGTCTTCAAAATAGTATCAATTGACCCCTAGGGTTTGGAATCAGATCTACGAAAATGGAGGAAAAACCATGCAAATTGCTTGGACTCCTCAAAGACTTGATTCAAGATTGTGGCTTAACAACCAGACCCGACGCATCGTTGATGAAACACAACGGAGAACCGATTAGCAAAACTCGAATGTATGATATTCCGAATTTTTGAAGGTTAGAATGGTCGAGTATAAAGATAAAGATCAACCTTAATCCCGGCTTCGCTTCTTCATCTCTTCCTCGTGGGCGTTTGATCGAAGCCACGAAGCATGTATTATATTATGCACGTGCTTAATCTATGTCATGTTACATAGGCTTAAATCTTAAAATAACCTGAGTGGGTTATCACATTCATGCTTCGATATGGGAAAGAAAGACTTCGCATTTTGTTGCACCCGTGGATTAATCTTCAAGTGGATTTATTCCAGAATAGCTCATCGAGACCTGGCCGTAGTTTGTCCGACCTCGAGGCTGAATTAAGTTCAACTGAGTGCATCGTTTGTGTGGTTGCCTCAATTCAGTGCAATGCACATGTATGACTCCGTTGTATTTAGTGTTCCATTAATATACGGAGGAGAGACCAGGCCAACGTGGGTAGGTTTATGGTGGAATCGAATTGTTTGGTACGAGAACTGCACCCGTGGTGAACAATATTTTGAACATTCTCGGGGCACACGATTTCGATAAGACAGATCTCCGCGGAACCTGAGCTTGATTTCGCGCTGTTTTGGAGTAACATGTATGAGTACAGATACTTGGTTCATCACATAACTTAGTTTCCGGATTTGTACCATGAAAGTTTTTGTACTCACTCGCCTCGAGCTTCTTATAACGTTTTCGCGATATTTCGTTGATTGATGTTACCCTCTCTCTTTCCACTGATCAGGTTACGAGTCATACACTATGCATCAAATTTACGTTGATGACACCTTCTGGGACATGAGTGCTTTGACATTTGCCTTTCATTCCATAGTTGCAGTTAAGGCTTTATAGCGATACTGAATTAACCTCTCTGCTCACTGTAACAATAGACATCGCCAGATCTCATTGCGTTTCCAAGGTGTCAAATACTTGCAACCAATTCTTCTTCAAGATGGGTTCGGTTGAAAACATCAGAGGCTAATTAACGGAGTCTCATAAAACTTTTAAAAAACAGCTGTTATCATCTGATTTGAACTCAACGATAAACATACATTGTATCGTATCATTTTGGCCAACCATATTGCCCCTGAACAACTTACCCTTTCCAACCGTTGGTACCAATGATCAAGAGAACGTTTCATCCATTGAATACTATTCCCTTCATATCGCTTAGAATCGGGCGTCCGAGGAACTATGTTGCATCCGTATATGTTCCTTCGTATAAAGTAGCGATGTATGGGGTCTTCAATTCTCATCTGGTGGTTGTCTTCACTTCTCTTAGAATTTGTGATTTGAATGCAATTTTCTGCTCGTTATGGTTCGATGGTACCTTTTATCCATGGTGGGTCTGGGGAGTTTATGTCTTATATACTCTCGCATTCTGATGCGAATACGATACATCCGTTCACTATCCTTGCTACCTCCTCGTTCTTCGGACATTTCGGATGATTTCCCGGGGTAGATCCTGTCTCACTATTTCCATGTCTTGTCGATTGTAATTGGTGAAAGGGATTAGCACATGTAGAATATGTATCATAGAGGTTGCAAAGCAGAGGGGTTCTTGGGTCTTCTAGCCAATAATGACAAACGCTTCGGGGAAGTCATGTTGGTTGTCGAATACCATAGGCTTCGGTGGACTTTGGCGGGGTTCTTTATGCTGGAAATTTTTGGGCACTTCATTTCGGTGGTTAACGATGTGGCCAAAAGTACCGATGCATGCCAATGGTGGCTCATTCATTTAAGAATGAATAGATTCCCTCTGGAGTTTCTAAAGTTGTTTGGCAATCAGAACTTGAGCTAAATACCACCAAACATTTGGAGTTTATCGGAAAATCAAGATGGCACCCACTATATCAGTAGGAGGTCAAAGTATAGTTGGACTGGCTTCTCACTTGTCACTCTACGCTGGTGCAATAGTAGGTTAAACAAATCACCTGATCTATATTGAGGGCTAACATTTGAAGACCGATAGATCATCTCCTATATCACATATAAAGTGATATATAACCTTTATTTCCATCCACTTGCAAAATTCCCTGGCCCAATAATAGCTGCAATAACGGATGGTTGGATATATTGGCATAAGTAAGCGTCCCAACTTCTGCCATGCTTTATCTAATTAGAAACTAACGAAAAGATAGTACTTTTGGGAATTATCACAAGACTATGATTGATTTACACAAGAAATATGGTAAAGTTGTGAAATTTGCACCGAATGATTTGTTCGTTCACTAAATTGACATCTCGAGTGGCACTTCACTAATCAAGCACAGAGACTTCGCATCCCCCCCACGGACAAGTCAAGCAAGGCAAAAATGCATTTCTTAAAGGGCAAGCCTACAATACCGGTTTAGAAACTAATGTAGGTATTGTTTCAGCAAGAGATCCAGCTGTTCATCGAGAGATTCGAAAATCTCTTTCTCATGCTTTTAGAGCTAAAGCCCTTCGACTTCAAGAGGAAGTGGTGGTAAAATATACGGACCTGTTGGTTTCTCAGTTTTGTCAACGTGGAAATGATGAGAAGGGATTGAACTTATCAGAAGTAAGTGTGCTACGGGGGTCCTTCTTATGAAATATCACTAAACATGCATAGTGGTATAATTGGTTAACCTTCGATATCATTGGGCATCTCGCATTTGGGGAATCATTTGATACGGTGAAATCTGGAGAAGGGCATCCATGGATTAGTCTCATTCTCAGCACCACACCCATTCATCTCATGGCCGTCATGGAAATCTTCAGACGTTTCCCATTCTTCAAGAAAATTGGAGCATTTCTCATGCCTAAAGACTTAAAGGAAAAGAGCAAGGTGCACTTCCAAAATGCAATGCAAAAAGCGACCCAACTTATGGAACGAGACAACAACGACCGAGACGACCTTTCCTCGCATCTCCTACGCGAGAAAGAAAACGGACCAAAAATTACCCCGGAATTCATTCTCGCGCAATCCAATACACTTATTGTGGCCGGCTCGGAAACTACTGCGACTCTTCTCATCGGATTAAGCTACTACCTTCTCAACCGACCCGAAACACTGGATAATCTCCAAGAGGAAATCCGCCACGCGTTCACATCTTCACGAGACATAACTAGTGATTCCACAGCCGCTCTCCCATACCTCGCAGCCGTCATCGCAGAAGGCCTCCGCATCTACCCACCCGTTCCCATGGGACTCCCCCGCGACTGTCCCGGCGCCATGATTGACAACCACTACGTCCCCAAAGGCGCCGTCTGTGTATCCGGATACGTCACCACACATGATGAAGAATATTTTACCGATGCCAATACCTTCCATCCCGAGAGATGGCTACCTGTCTCCCACCCTCTCTATAATCCTCGGCATGCAAATGATAATAAGGATGCGAGTAAACCTTTCTCAGTAGGTTCCAGAGCAGGTCTGGGTATTAATTTGGCATACATGGAGATAAGAGTAGTTTTAGCGAGGTTGATGTGAGAATTCGAGTGGGAGTTGGTTAGTAGGGATTTGGATTGGGAGAGAGATTCGAGGTTGGTGGTTTTGTGGAAGAAACCAGAGTTAAGGGTGAGGTTTACGGAAGTGCGGAGATGATTGGCTGCTGGTGGTTCTTTTGTATTTGTGTTCATCACATATGATGTGATATTTTGAGGCGCTTTCTGTAGGTGTGTGGGGCATTATTGGATAGGGAGTTGTTGTGGTAAAATCATGGGCTGGTAAATTGTAATTCTGAGGGGTTTTGGGAGGGAATGGAAAATTGGATAGGATGGATGGGTAGATGGATAGGTGCATGGGTACCAATTCCATTCAAAATCAATTCTAAAACTATTTCTGCATCGTTCCGTCCCGAACTCTCGAATCTCGGATACCGTGCATGATACATATGTAGGTAGCCTAGCCTAGCCATGTGTTTCTCCGTTTTCGAAAAGATTCATGTGGGAAGCCGGGGAGAGATATTACCGTATATGATAAGTTTTTTTTGGGGGGGTTTTTTTTTGGTGGAGAGGGGGGACTGATTGGGGAGCTGTGATTGATTGAGTGATTGATTGAATACTCGAGTAGATGTTTCCTAACTATTGTTACTGTACTATTTGGTGTATAGAGAGAGAGATATATATATATGATGGATAGATGAGCAAATATGAGTTTGCTGAAATGTGTATGGTGATTAGGTAGGTAGATACACCAGCGTTGAAAATTTTATGCGGAGTTTTCATTAATACCGCTTTCCTTTCCAAAATATAGTGAGATGGAGTGGTACAGTTTATGCAAGAGCATGCATGCAGTGCAAGAGCCAGCAAGATCATGAGATGAATGAGATGAATGGGATGAATGGGATGAATGGGATGAATGGGTGATCACTCGTATAGTACAGTATCAAGTCAAGGACACAGCATGAGATGAGAGTACGTACTATCGACGATGAGGAGACTACTGGTAAGGTTAGTGTGGGATTTTCTGTTTTCTGTTTCCTGGATGTATTTTGGTATGATATACCGGTAGAGATAGAGAGATGTTTATGTTCCAAACCAGATAGATGTCTAGATAGAAAATTAATCCTCGCAACTTTGAATATATGGGACGAACCCCCTTCATCTCAGCCGAGAGTGATATCACAAGTACCGGTATATCCTTGTACGAATAGGTTAAGCTTAATCGATAAGGAATTTTCTTCCCTGTTCCTGTTCCTGTCCTATTGCCCCACGCTAGCTGTCACGATAAAAATTTCTCTTGGGATGTATGGATTAGGGCGTGCACCTTTCAAATCGTCCAATGTAATGGTTCGTTTCCACCTTCTAGAAGAGAAGAGTCATACGGATTTATGATATACCTAGGTAGTAGCACTATGATCATTTCACTGTTTTGTTGTTATTCGATTTTATAGACTCTCTTTTCGTACATCCTTCTTTCGTACTACACCCTCCTCTCGTACACCTTCCATTCGTACAGTACAGCCTTCCGTTCGTCGGGTCTCACATTGTTATTGTTTAATGTTTTAATATAACGCGGGGTTACACTATATACATATAGATATACCGGTACATACATACATAGGTAGGTCAAAGATTTATCAATACTTCTGCAATCGGAGCGCAATTGAATGGATGGATGGATGTATGGATGCGGGGGAGGGAAATGATACATGAGTGTGCTACATACGAGAGAGAGTAGTAGCATGTACGAGCATATAGCTAGCGATGAATCTAGTATTCTCGTGCTTGCAAATAGCTCTTCATTTCTCTTCTGTCTACTCAATTGAGCTTTCTGTTCTCACATACTACTGATATTTATACTTCTATGCCAAGCGAGCCGCATATATAGACTCAAAAGAGGCACTCACTAATTCACCAATCAAACCAACAGGATGTTTACAAACGAGCAGATAGTCCCCTCGCATTCCTCACTCGATGTAGAGAAAAACACCGATACCGACGCACTCCCCTCACTCTCGCCCTCACCCTCACCCAACACCCACACCCCCATCGCCCCTCCCCCCTCCAAATCACCCATCCACGACACCACAACCCCCACATCCTCTCCTCCCCCGCAAAACCGTTTCTTCGCCCTCACCACGCGCATTGAAAATGCCCTCGGTCTCGAAGCCCGCGGCATCCATCGCGTGCTCCCCGCCGAGCAAACCCCTAAAACTACCCTGTCCTTTTTACAAATCGTCGTGTTGTGGTTTTCCATCAATACCGCGCCGCAGAATATTACTTTGGCTAGTATTGGCGCCAGTGTGTATGGATTGGGCTTTGTGGATGCGACGCTTTGTAGTGTTTTTGGAGCCGTGGTGGGTGTGTTGCCCGTGGCGTATGTGGCGGGTTGGGGCCCTTGGAGTGGCAATAGAACTATGGTAGGTGAGGGGTTTTTATATGGTTGATATTCAAGAGTGGTGCGGATTCTGGGATTCTTGAGTGTGGTTATTGGCTCGGTCATTGGGAATTTGACATTTGTCAACCCCTGAGATGAATATTAGCTAACCGAGTATCTAGATATGCGCTCGATTCACAATGGGATGGTGGCCAGTGAAGGTTTGTGTGATACTGAATTTAGTTATCTTGTTAGGATACGCAATGATTGATGCAGTAGTAGCTGGTCAAATGTTATCTGCAGTCTCGCCGAATGGGAGTCTGTCCGTAGAAGTTGGGATCGTCGTTTCGGCCGTTCTGACATTCATGGTAACAACATTTGGCATCAAGATATTCCATCACTACGAGAGATTCGCATGGATACCGCAAACAATCGTTCTTCTCATCTTAGCCGGAACCGCAGGCTCAAAGTTCGACCTCAATAGTAAACCCACAGTCGAAGGCGCAACACTCACCGGAAACCGTCTTTCATTCTTCTCAATCTGTCTCAGTGCAGCAATTACCTACGCCCCTATCGCAGCCGATTTCTTCGTTTACTGCGATCCTAAAATTGCATCTCGCTGGAAAGTCTTCGCGGCAACTCTCCTCGGTCTCTCCCTCTCCTTCACATTCACCTTCGTCATAGGAACCGGTCTCGCATCCGGCATTTCCGACACCCCTTCTTGGGAAGCGGCAGGAGCAGGATCAGGTGCTCTCATAGTCGCTGGATTCGAAAGTCTAGGCGGGTTTGGAAAGTTTTGCTCAGTGGTTGCGGCATTGGGCTTAATAGCCAACATGGTTCCTCCAACCTACTCTTGCGGTATCGATTTCCAAATCCTCGGGCGATATCCAGCCATGGTTCCGAGATTCCTCTGGAATACATTCGGGGTTGTAGTATTCACCGCGTGCGCACTCGCGGGACGCAACGATCTCTCGGAAATCTTCACCAATTTCCTATCGCTGATGGGTTACTGGGTCGTGCTGTGGATCGGTATCACGTTGGAAGAAGAATTTATCTTTCGACGTCGTAGGAATCCTACCTTTGTATGGAGTGATTGGGATCAACAGGATCGAATGCCGGTGGGTATCGCGGCTTTGGTGGCGTTTGGGGTGGGGTGGGTCGGGGCAATTTTGTGTATGAGTCAGTATTATTTTATAGGACCGTTGGCGAAGATGGTGGGGAGTGAGGGCGGGGATATGGGGAATTATGTGGGGTTTGCGTGGGCGGGTTTGGTGTATCCAGGGTTGAGATGGTGGGAGTTGAGGAGGTTTGGGAGGTAGGGGAGAGGGGGAGGGGGGGATATGAGAAGAAGAGAGAGGGAAGGGGAAGAGGGTTTAGATGGATGGATGGATGGATGGATGGATGGATGGATGGGGAGGTTTATGAATATTACGACCCAGAAAGTTTTGTGATAGGAAAGGAAAGAAATACAGGTACTATACTATACCAAGGGGTTTAAAAATTACACACAAGGAGAATATATATTAGAAATTCTAGATATACTAGATATATATATATATATATAAAGAATCTCAATAATCTAGAACACATACTCGTACACACCTCATACAATGCCTGGTTTATATGATGACTCGGAAACATGATATGATAGCTCCACGATAATCTGATCGGATCTGATCGGATCTTATCCTGATTGTCAGTCAGATCGTCAGATCTTCGGATTTCGGATCCATAGGGGTTCGCTCCGCTATTAACGTCAAATGGTGAAACGCCATGCATACGTGGATTCGTGGATTCGTGGATTTGTCTTTAGCCCGGTGGCTGGCCGTCTGAGCTGAGCTGAGTTGAGCGTAGATTGTCTGGTGTATGGCGTATGGTGTATGGCGGATAGTAGGTAGTATGGTAGGAATTGGGGGAGGGGGATTAGATTGGTTGGAATGGGATGAGATGGATGAGATGAATGGGATAAGTTACGGTTGAAACATATTCTTCGTTTGTTGTGTCTTTGGGGATCTATGCTATGCTATGAAAGGCGCGATGATGTAGATTCTGAATCTGTGATTAACAATTTGTAATTGATATGCGCGGCTCTAGCTACAGTAGTGGGAGTGCTGGGTACACGAATTCGAAGTATACGAGCGCTGACAGTACGTATTGATACGAGTGAGTATAATAAGTGAGTTGAGGAGTAGCTGTTTATCTTTTTCTTGAAAAATAGATACGAGGGATCAAGTTATCTTACTGGTACTTTACTTTACTTTACTTTACTTTACTTTACTTTACTTTACTTTACCTTACCTTATTCTTATCTCTTCAGAAGTTCAGAGACTACACGTATGGTGATACGAGGAGTTCGGATGTCCGGATTGTTACGGGTGGTGGGCGTTTTACTTGTGTGTCTAGACAGGTACTGTACTCGTATACCTGAAAAGAGAAGAACTACAAAATGTGATCCCATCTTTTGGGGAGATGGTAGCGGGATAGACACCTGCTTATGGCTGTTAATTGTGTGAGGCTTTTGAGGTTCTATAATTGCCTAATTCCTACGTTTTGTCGTTGGTGTAGACACTACTTATCTCGATCAAAATCCTGGGGAAACACTTAGAAACTCGTATCTTCAGTATCTGTACAGTAATTATTGAATCAACTTGACTGGTAACAGCTCGCCATCTGGGCATCACATAGTAGATACTAGATACTAATAAGATGCTCTCGCTCTCGTCATGATCACTAAACTAAATCCAACCATAGCCGAACTTCACAATTCACCGCAAACAGACATTTTCAGCCACCACTCTATTTATATCTTCACTCTCCACCAACCATACCCCCGGATTTCTCGGCTGTGGCTTAAGTTTTTTTTTCCAGCTACCGGTACAGCCCAACGAATTTCAGCGCTGATGAGCAAAAATTACATCCAAAATGAAATGCGCCCGTTCGGATTAATTATCTACTAAGAAACTAAACACCAATATCTTCGTGTTATTCCCAGCACAAAGCTCAAAGAAATGCCGAAAACAGTCTGAAGAGCGTATTACTATTCACTGATATATCCAATCAGAGTACGCAAAACCATGCAAGAACCCTTGGGTCCGCGCGGAACCGACGGGTTTTGACGTAGGTGATACTTTTTACGGTCTTTTTACTGATCTTTTGAAGGTTGGAATACGATGGGATAGGTAGGTAGGTAGGTAGGTATAGGTGATAGGTATAGAGAATAGATATCCAATCTATTTCTGATCGCTCATATATATATATATATATCATTGCATCAGTGCATCAAATAGATATCCTTTTCCCCAGATCAAATCCAATCATATCATATCAAACCGTTAATCTTTGACCAGATCTACCTGCCTGTTTCATCTAATCTAATCGCATCCGAATCCCCGCTTTCCTGCAGGATTAGGTTATAACTTTAACATATCGGGGAACCCGTTTCATCATCGTCCGAGTCTGGAGCTTTAGCCTTTTGAGTTTTATCGATCGGGGCCAGTGCCTACGTATTCTTGTGGGGGTGGGCCGGCCGAGATTGGATACGATTTACCCTGTGAGTACGCAGTACGCGGTATAAGTCGCTTTCTTTATTGTGCGGGGGAGAGTTAGATAGGTAGATATAAGAGGGACATCCGCTTTTGGAGGGGTTTTTGGGGTTTTTGTTTTACAGATATTCGAGTATAACTGCCTCATATTCGACCTTCGTTCATATTCGCCGGCGATTGAGAGGATTGCAAGAGAGAGAGAGGTTATCGAACATTTGACTTACTTACCAAAGCTATATTTTCATATACAATATCTCTCGCTCCGCTCATACCTAGCCAAATACACACACACTATACGCTCGACTGCAAACACCACAATGCAACCCTCAACAACCCTCCTCTTCATCTCTGCCGCTATCCTCAGTACCTTATCTCTTGTTACAGTTACAGCTACACCAATACCATGCAACGATGTACGTATCTATTTTCCCCTCCCTATCCTTCACCACCCTTCACCATCCTTCCATCTCCCTTAATCCCCCCACTCCCATGTACCCTCACATTTCACACTTCACATTCACATTTCACATTCCACAAACAAAAACCCAATACTAATACTCATAACCAGGCAACAAGAGATCTCGTACTCAGAGGAACCCTAGATCCTAGCGCTTGCTGTAGCTACGGTGTGTGCATCAAGGATGTTAATGTTCAGGGTGGTTGAGTGGAGCTTGTGTTTTATTTTATGGAATGCTGTGTTATGCTGTGCTGTATAGTTTAAGTGGAAGAGGAAGAGGGTGCGTAGAGAGGATATGGTGTTGGGATTGGAATTGGCATGGGGGCTATTACTCGTATATGTTAAGGGGTGGCCTGACTTAGGATGGGATGTCGGATGTGGGATGTGGTATTGGCGTTCACTACACCGCATTATGATTTATACGATTGGGCTAGGTTGAGATTGGAGTTGGGTTTTCATGACATAGTCATTCTTTGGGTTATATGATATAGTCATTCTTTCGGCTATCGGCTTGCCACAACAACTATACAGTACAGACAGGTGAATAAGGTTAACGGGAGTTTTTTGGAGTCGGAATAGGAATCGGGATGGAGGGATGGGATGGAATGGGATTTACAAAGGAGAAAATTTGATATTACTTTGTTGGGATGAGTTTTATGAATATACTCAAGTACGATTGGCGGTATGGATTTATTTTTATGGTTGGTTTGGGTATGACAGTTGATGATATATATACGAGTATCATATATAAAAGTTACAAAGGAGATGAATGGAGCTTGTTATTCTATCCCTATTATATATTTTGTCTCAAGTGTTTATTTGACGTTTCGCTATTGTATGTGGAGGGTACATATCACCATTCCTCCCTCGGTCTCGCAAAGACTCTCGATGTTAAGATAAGCGGTTTCTATGAGAATTTGTAGATGGAAAGCTGTCAATGTTTAATATAGAGCTATGTTATATATCCAGACCATATGACATCCATCCCACTGACATCTGCCCTACCCAAGCCACGCCTAACATCAACATCCCCCTCAACATTCATCATTCACCATCCTCACCCACCCACCTCAAATCTTCGCACCCCCCTTCAAAACATCCTTCAAAAACATCAACGCCTCCTTCGCAAACAAAATCATATTCCCCTCTCTATCCCCGCCCAATCCCGTATTCAAATCTTTCTTATATGTTCCATTTTCCGTTGCTATGGCTAATGCTACATATCCGCTTTTCGTTGCACCATTCGTTAGCTATTTTTCTTTTTCATTCACCCGATCGATCTATGCATCTTGGGAAAAGAAGAAAAGAGAGAGAAAAAAGAAAGAAAACAAGGAGAGACAAAAAAAAAAAAAACATACGGCTGTCTATTTGCCCCCTCCCCACTAGCGCCAGGCCCCGCAGTCCCACTCTCACAAATGCAATACGTACTACCCAATTTCCCCCTCACATGTTCAGCAATACCAGCCACGAGATCTGGGGTAGGACCCTTATAAGAGGTTATATTTTCTTGGGTCCAACCGGCTTTTTGGGTGTCATCACATATTAGTATATATGTACTCGAGTATATATTTCTGCGAAGATTCCAGCGTTGAGAGAGAGGTACAGTAAACGGAAATAAGAGAGAGAAATAGAGAAAGAAAGCTGAATTGACCCACCAAAAGCTATTCTAGACTCCAGCGTATAAACCGTCAGACCACCTTTGAAAACTTTACTTGCACCGGGTGTACTGAGAATAGATGCGGATATAATGCCTCCTGCTGCCTGATTGAAGGTTAGATTCTCACGCATACACACACACACATCATCTTCTCTCCATGCCCGTGTCTCTAGTCTTCCTGAGAGCTCCCTCCCACTTCCCATCTACCCCCCTTAAACCGAATCACTTGACATCAATCACACTCATCCAGCTTGTAGTAGTAGAAATTGAAAGCCCAGAGAAGAAACATCAATCATCAATCAACCAACAAACCCCCTTCCTTCCTCCTCAGCAATCCCATCACACAACCACCATCCACCATCCACCATCCACCATCCACAAACCTCAAACCACAAATCCAAACACCAAGAACAATAAAAATAAAACAGAAACATACCGTCTCAGCCACACTAACAGTTTCCCCCCTCTCCTTCAACAACCTAGTAACCTCAATCACTACCTCCCTCACTTGTTGAGGTGGGAATTTGTTTGCTTCAGACATTGTGTGTAAAGATTCTCTGGCTCTGATATACTGAGGCTTAAAGAAAGAAGGTTGCTTGCAGAATGAAGAAGAAGCGTTGATTCGAAGATAATGGGTTTGGGCGTCTTGTATTTCAAAGCATGACCATGGCGGGGTAAGGTTTCCCAGTGGCGGCCCACTGCATATGAAGCAAGCACCTAGGGATTTTGGGTCAAATACACATCTTTTCATGAGGAATGATTGGAACAAGCGTTTCTACAATTGGTAAAAGGTTTATTTCATTATGATATGAAAGTCTAAAATATGATAGATTTTATAAAAGAATTGATGTGGACGGTAACATGCTTAGCCAGTCATGAAAGCCAATCATAATATTTCATGCTTGAAGCCGTTGAATACAAACTACACGAAGGGAATTGGCTCAAAAGCCACCATCCTCCTGCCAATTGAGCATGAGCCCATATAATTCCTGCCAGCCATTCCGTTAAAGGCCACAGATTTTCTCGAGATCAAGCGAATGCGTGTAGTCAAACAACCTACGCGATAATATGAATCGACCTACCGAACATCGACTTCGACCTTTCGGAAGAGAGCCCAGATTTGGGTCATTGTATCATGAATACCATCGAATCTCTGTTCCTTACTTTTCATATAGCTCAGAGCCACTCAGGAGAGCTGCATTTGATAGATACGGACCTGAGTATAGACTGGGCCGAAGTTCCGATAGGAGTAAGAACAGAAGTCGAGTACTGGGTCCAGAGAACATAGAGCGTATGTTCGACTCGAGTAGTGACTATGAAGACGCAAGGCACAAAGATGCCTTACCTTTTGGGAAAGCCATGAAGAAATTGCGTACTGTAGTCAAGGATGCGGAAACCATTTACTCTGGAGTCCTCAAAGAGTACAACGCCGATGTTCAAAATATCAAGAATTATACACCGGATAAGATCTTGAGACAATTGTGGAGTTTGAAATTGGATAGTGTGTCGAGAATTCAAGATCAGACGGAGGACTCAAATCAGCATGCGGACTATGGCAACCAAGATCGAGATCAAGACGGCAACAATGTCAAGAAGGTGCACGACTCAGAAGACACATTGTACGAACAGCTCAACCAACAAATCGCACAAGTCGTGGAAGCCTTGAAGCAGGCACATATGTCAATCGTTGGAGAGAAATCGAGCACAACTGTATTCAAAGCGTCGGAAAGATTGAAGGAAAAGATCGATACCACGGGTAGGCAGATTCTAGAGTTGTTTCAAAGGGCCAAAGATGGAAGTCAAGATTGTGAAGCCCTTCTGGACGAGTTGAATGGGTTGTACACTTTGCTAGAAAGCAATAGGAAATTGTACGCTGTCGAGAAAGAGGGAGAAAATGCGGAGGGTTCAATGCCATCTTAGATCGCTACAGTCAGAATTCGGATAAGATTGCCTAATCGGTGGGATGTTTGCGAATGGTAGTCGATTTCAAGAGGAGACAGTCTGCTAAATACTGAGTTATGAATCAAAGATTCGAATTCATTAGTAGTATCCCAACTCGAAAAGTGAGATGTGATCACTGACCTTTAGAAAAAAAAAAGGTGAAGCGTCGTCCTCAACAGAGTAATCGGAATCGAATTGTACCCAACTTGTCACCACCGAAGAGACGACAAGTCCAGCACGCCACGTATTGCACTTAAGTGTCATGCCTTAGCACACACAATCTTCGCAACGGCTCTCCCATAGGAACAATAGCACACAACTCTTTTCTCTCCTCCTTTCAGATTTGATATGTAAAGAGTGACCATGCCCTGCTTTTCTGATGCCAATTGCAGACGTGAAATCACGCCGAACCCTCACGGGCAGACCTGTTCATCTTTGCCAGAAGGAAAAGGAACGAGGTAATTTTGAAGAGTACTCCGAATTTCTCATATGCAAATGATTGATCGCAAGCGATCTGATATACTTGGGTGAGCAAGTTTATCTGTTTGTAGCATAGAAACGCAGCGTTGATGAGGACGACGCTTGAAGAGAAAAGAGGAAGAAATTCTACAGAAGATTTTGAGTTTATGACTTCTATCCAAAAAAAAGCTCGCTAACAGAGCTCTTAGCGTCAATCAAGAGAGTTTTAGCGCCATTTGAGCCGGAACTATATCATTTGGAATACCGACATACCGACTTTCTATCGTTGTGCACAGCCTCAATCCTTGCTGGCGATTATATGACGCGCCTCATTTGTAAACTACTATGTAGGTAGGTACTCGAGTACTCGGTAAGTGTTCATTGTTCATTGTTCCTCGCATTATTCCTGGGGAAAGTTAACTTTATTAACATCAACCTCAGAAAGCGAATCTTATCAAGATGTGCTTCATTTTCACTTGCGGAGAGCATGGTATGAGAGATTTTATTACTTAGAGTTACTTGTTCTTCAGCTAACAGTTCTACTAGAGTTTTCATCTCAACTCAAGGGCTACGAGAGTGTGTTATGCCAATGTCATAATTGTGTACGTATTTGGTTCTGATTATCCACTCTTCCAACGACTGATTTACTGGATTAGGGAAATTATTCTGCCAAAGTCATTAAGAGACATCCATGGTTTACCTTCTGCTTCGTTCCAGTCCTCCCGTTGAGCTTCCATGCCTATGAGGATGTCGTCTGCTCAATCTGCAATTTCGCGCAACCACTTCAAAACCGAGCAGATGTACAATCTCAAATAAATGGAGGAGGTCAAGTGCCATTGCAAAGTCAACCACCGGCTGGTGGTGGTGGTGGTCCTGCAAATCCTGGATGGGGAGGGGGAGGAGGCCAACCAGGAGCGAAACAGTCACAGCCTATGCAGTATGGATAGCAAACTGTCCAGGGAAGATGGCTGAGGGGGCGGTAGAATTTCTAAGAAGAGCAGGGTTGGAGATACACCAAATTGTACGAACAGATACGGGATTCGGGGCACACCAGGCCGGCAAGAGGGATGGTTTCAAAGGGGGCGCCGTACGGAGTTTTGCAATGGACCATTGGTTGGGATAGGCTGATTCTTTTGGTGGCATTTTAATCTTGGGCGAGAATTAATTTGGAGGTTTGTTTCTAGGAGGGATATTTAATAAATGATTATTCTTGATGCCCTGAAGTATCAGGTTATTGTTGTTAATGTGACATTCCTCGTTTGACTTTACGGCGTTTGGACTGACGAATGCTGATGAAGAAGGGACTGAGAGGCCATTCCTTGGATATCTAAACATCCTCTGCGTTGAGATGGATGCAAAGCAAATGCTCAAATGGGTATCCATTAGTGAGAGTTTGGACAATACTGCCATCGGGAGAAATGAATTTAATGCTTTTGTAGATTGGTGTTCCAGAATCCATTGCACACTCAAAACTACGAATTAATTGCACAACTTTGATTGGTGCTCGGAGGCATTGAGAAGGCCTGGATCAAAATATGCAAAAAGTAGTTACTTTTTCCTTCCCGCATGGATATATAATTCTCCGCGGGGGGGGTCAAAAGAATCATAGTTCATCGGGACGCGCCGTATCTGACTCTGGATTGAGCTCATTGAGCCTCGAGGACCGCATAGTTTCTCCTTGCAAAAGTAATATGTTGCGGTATCGGAAGGCTTTGGAGAAACCTTGTCGTCGTTTTCTTGCCCCACCCGATCTCACTGTCCAGCTCCTGAGTCCTGGCTGATACTTTTTTCCCTGCCTTTGCATTATTTTCCCCATTTTCATCAGCGCCAGTCTCCTTATCGATGGCTTTCGAAAACTGTTATCAATTCATCGACAGCCAATCAGGAGTTAATCTTTTGGCTATCGTACATATCGCTTGACCCCCAATGTCCAAGCTCTCGAAGTTGATGCAGACGCAGTCAGATAGCAAGGATTTAGTGAAGTTGATCTCATATGTTTTATTCGATAAAATTACCATTACACAAACCTTATCTCTATCAGATAGACCTCAGACCCAAAACTGCGGAGGTGATGGCCACTTTCTCTCATTCAGACTCGTTCAGATCTCTTATCCATTATAAGGTGAGCAAATCATGTAGAGGAAAAGTACCAAGGCATCATGCCACACGTTTTCTTTCAGCTCTTTCTCCTGTGAGTGGTATCACAGTTATCAGCACTCCAGAAAGTACTACCCCAGTTGCATATTTTCATGTACCTAGTATGATATGATATAATACATAGGCTCTGTTCCCTCTTGTGTCACATTTGTAGATTCCGAGTAGCCTTTGTGAACACCACATCTTCATCCAGTGCATTGAGATTGAGCATATTCCTTCAACAAAGATGTCAATCGCACCTCCACTCAGCGTCGGCTGGGGATATGGCATCGTTCTTGGTTTGGGAGCTCTATTTGCATTTGGCATGGTAAGTTTTACACACATTTGCTACCATTGGGTCTCTAACTAACTTTTGAGCCAACTAGATCCTTGTAACGTGGATCCTCAAACGATATAACCATGAATTACAAACATCGGAAATGTTCAGCACAGCTGGAAGAACAGTAAAATCGGGATTGGTCGCATCTGCGGTTGTATCTTCATGGACTTGGGCTGCTACACTACTGCAAAGTTCTGGTGTTGCATACAAATATGGCGTTTCGGGACCTTTTTGGTATGCATCTGGAGCCACGGTTCAGATCTTATTGTTTGCGACTATTGCCATTGAGTTGAAGAGAAGAGCACCAAATGCTCATGTAGGTTTGGCCAGATTAGCAGGAATAGAAACATACTAATAGAGTCTAGACTTTCCTCGAGGTCATCAGAGCTAGATATGGGGTACATGCTCATATAGTTTTTATCGTCTTCGGTTTGATGACCAACATTCTCGTTACTGCAATGCTTTTGACCGGTGGTGCTGCTGTGGTATCTTCCTTGACAGGAATGCCTACACCTGCTGGTAAGAGAACCATTTGAGATTCGATAGCAAATTACTCACATCCTATACAGCCTGTTTCCTTCTACCACTGGGTGTCGTCATGTATACCATGTTCGGTGGTATCAAAGCTACTTTTCTCACCGATTGGGTCCATACGTTTATGCTCCTGATCATCATACTGATCTTCGCATTCACCACCTACGCGACAAGCGATGTCCTCGGATCACCAAAAGCAGTATTTGATCTTCTACTCCAAGCAGCTGTCGATCATCCAGTCGAAGGTAATTCGGGAGGTAGCTATCTCACCATGAAATCGTCAGAAGGTGCCATCTTCTTCGTCATCAATATCGTCGGAAATTTTGGAACCGTGTTCTTGGATAATGGATACTACAATAAGGCAATTGCTGCATCTCCAGTGCATGCACTTCCGGGATATATCATGGGTGGGATCTCTTGGTTTGCCATTCCATGGCTATGCGCTACAACAATGGGCTTAGCAGCCATTGCTCTTGAAGGCAACCCCGTCTTCCCTACCTATCCCAATCGCATGGATGCTGCCGATGTCTCAGCAGGTCTTGTACTTCCTTACGCCGCCGTTGCCATTCTTGGAAATGGTGGTGCAGTTTGCACCCTTCTCATTGTCTTCATGGCCGTTACATCCGCGTCATCCGCCGAACTCATCGCCGTATCGTCAATATTCACATATGATATCTACCAAACATACTTCAATCCCGGTGCCAGTGGAAAGAGATTGATTTACATGAGTCACGCAATGGTCATTGGCTTCGGCTTACTCATGGCAGCTTTCTCAACAGGTTTATACTACGCCGGTATTTCCATGGGTTACCTCTACCTAATGATGGGCGTAATCATCTCCTCGGCCGTTATTCCCGCAACTCTAACAATCATGTGGGCCGGTCACAACCGCTGGGCCGCCACGCTCACTCCTCCTCTCGGTCTCATCTGCGCTGTCATAGCCTGGCTCGTCACGGCCAAAAAAGAATGCGGCTCCCTCAACGTCGATTGCACCGGTTCCAATATCCCCATATTAGCAGGCAACGTCACGGCTCTCCTCTCTCCTCTTATCTTTACCCCCCTCTTTACACTCATCTTCGGCTGGGATAAATATGACTGGAAATCCATGGCCGCCATCCGCAAAGGCGACGATCACGATTTAGCCGACGCAGCCGACGTAGACATCGAACTCGTACCCGGTGAAACGCGCGCCTCGGCCGCAGAAGAAGCGCTCGAACAAACAAATCTTCTGCGCGCTTCGAAAATTGCAAAGGGTATGACCGTCATCTTGACTCTCGCATTGTTGATATTATGGCCCATGCCCATGTACGGCAGCGGCTACATTTTCACCGAGAAATTCTTTACCGGGTGGGTGGTGGTAGGTATTATCTGGTTAATAGGCAGTCTGTTGACCGTGGGTGTGTATCCTGTGTTTGAAGGGAGACATTCGTTGGCGAGGACGGCAAAGTCGATTTATTTGGATATTACGGGCAAGCAACATCCGAGTAGACATCATAGGCCAGAAGCTACGTATGTAGAGGGAATAAAGGATGATGGAACTGAGACGCCGCCGGTTGAGGGTGGCGAGAAGGAGAAGGAGATTGCGGGGAAGATTGAGGTTACTGCTCAGTAGGGGCGCTATTGGGGGCAGTGGTGTTATGTGGGAATGAAGGAAAGGAAAAGGATGTTGGATGATACCATGGTTACTTTGATTTTGCGTCATATGTTTGTTTCTTATGAAAGGAAAGGAAAGGAAGTCGATGGTCAAAAATAAAGTGGAAAATATTTACAGGCTGTAAATGCAGAAAACTAAAGTGTATACCGCTATGAGATTGGGTGAGAAACTTCATTTTTTGGCTCAAATTATGTATCATCAGTGATTCTTCCCTATCAGAAGTGCTATTCTACTACAGCGCGTATACGTAATCTCTGGGTACTTTATACATGCAAGTGTTTCCGTGGTAACAAGTTTGACAGACTCTTATCAGTTAAGGCTTTCACCGTTACTAGAGTACTTAGGGAGCGTCTAGTTCAGTGTGGCTGCTAGGCTAGTGCAGTTGTATAAATTTGTATGTATGTGTGTATGTATCCCGTGGATTTGGGCTCTGCATCTTACTATATAGTTGAGTAGTTAAGTGAGATGAACACGGTGATAGTGATAGTAATAGCAATAGTGACCAGGCAATGTACTTCTGATAGATATATAAAATACAACAGGAAAGTATTCATCCATTCATTCCTCTTTCATCACAACTGCATCACAACTACACCAATCGACTCAGTCACTCACTCCAAAATAGCACTATAGAATACTGTAGAATAAGTACTCGAGTAGTAAGTAACGTAAAGTAAATCCACCTTTCACCCTTCACCCCAACCTTCGTGAAACTAAACTGCCTGAAAACATTTGTTGTTATGTTGTGCTATCTCCATGATCTCCACGATTTCCATTTTAGGTATTTCCCATCCCATATATTCTATCTACGATATATATACCTTCCTTTTGGCAGTACTCGAGTACACGTACATCATCATATGTGCACTTCACTTCAACGCGTAACTTCCTCGTCAGACAGACACAACATCGCATTACTCCGCGGTTGAACCCTTTCTAAAAATAGCGATTATGTTATTTTTCATGGCATGAAGAAGGCTCCCAGTAAGTGAGTAGACTTTGGATTAGATCAGGGTTCTTTAGAGACTATGGACCATGCCATGCCATATATTTGGGCACCTTATCAGTCGCCTCATATTTCATTCCCATCTCACACTTCATATCCCATGAATTTATTTTAAGATTTAAATTATCTATCATACAGCATATAAAACGAGCCTAGCTACCTACCGGTTTTGACCAAGGGAAAGAAGTGAGAGAGACTACCTTGGTAAGTCAAATGCTCTCACTCCATAGCAGGAATATCCATGCGAGCCTTCGCAAACAGATCCATGGCAGCCACATGGTCCGAGGAATTCATGCTCTTTGAAATTTGCCAATAGAACGAAAAAGGAAGTAGAAAGCAAAAAAGAATGTCGTTACGAGATATCTTCCAGAACTCCTCCCATTTCCAAACCCCGTTTTAAGAAACAAATGCATTATGGCATTAATCCGCCATATCGACTTCGTTATCTACAGCTGCTGTAGCCGTAGTTGCAGGTGCTGCTCCTGATACTACTCCAGATCCCGTTCCAAGGGTGGCACTAGTACTAGCGCCAGCAGCCTGCGACGAGGGAAGGACACCCTCACTGATCCATTTCCTAAATTCCTGGTTGATCCTAATGACTTCCTCGTGACTCTTTTCCTTCATCCAGCGATTATTCATGCCGAATTTCTCATGGAACCTTTGATTCCTCGACTCCTCAACTTTCTTCAACCTCTGTCTGGTTTCACCATCTTCGCCACCACCCAGAGCTTTATCGGCATAGATGAAGTATTCTACGCCGGGTTCCTTGTAGATAATTTTATAGCTATTGACGCAGATCCTAAGTGTTAGCTCTTCGCCCCAAACGAGAGGTTTGCGCTGATTGGAGCCGTCTTCCGAATCGGTGTCTCCGGATGGTAGATTGCGGGTCAGGAGACTCTTGCGAAGAAGTCTGCGGGGGACGCCTTCGGTTGGTTCGATGCGGACATAGGAAGATGTATAGTATTGCCAGCGCTCCTTTCGTTGCATAATGTCAAGATCGAAGGTAGTCTCGTCTCTATGGACCCATTGTGATGTGGCTTCATTCTTTTTGGGGTACTGGTACCTTATCAGTATAAGTCTATGAAAATGACAGAAAGTACATACCCATCTGATCAAGAACAATTCTGAATCTTTAATGTACTTGTCAGCTTGTTTCCGTAAGTTGATCTCGATATTATACGACGTCTCTTTCGACTCTCTGTTGCGAACGAATTGATCAATGAGATCCGGAGTCTTCTCCTTAGAGTCGAGAGAGGAACATAGGGAACCAAGACGGCAAAGACTCTTAAGAAGGTCGGTAACGGTGTAGATTTTCCATCCAGTCTGCAAATAGTAATGTCGAAGGTACTCCTGATATTTGGTGTCTTCAACCTCGCCCTTGATGTAATCTTCAACAAGTAACAAGACTCTTGAATAGCAGAACTCGCCATCCTCAAGACTCGTAAAGTAGTCATTCCTATCGCTTAGCAGACCAATTTGTTTTGCAGGTTTACAACTCTTTGCCCGTTCCATTTCTGCTTTAGCGGAGGTCTCTGCATCTTTGATGTCTTTGAATCGCTGATAGAGAGTTTGAAAAACACTGAAGAATACGAAGATGGTCTGATTGCAGTATAGATTATACCAATCACGTTGAAATGGTTGATCCGCTTTCATTTCCAAGTCGTCAGATTCAAGAGGTCTTGTTCCTTGAACAGCAACCGCACCTGGGATGGCAGCCCAGCGCTCATTGGTGACTTCAGTCATGACTCTATCGTCAGTGACTTCCCCAACTTCTTCATCAATGTTAGAATCAACATCCGGTGTAGATTCTTTGCTGCCGGTAGTACTATCGTCCTTTGGTCCACGACCTCTTGTGCCATTTCGACCTCTGTCAAGTACACCACGTCGCAAGTCTGCTTTCTTTCCGTTGACTGGTCGTCTGCCTCGACCATTAGAAAGCTCGGCTGGTGCAATATCTTCGTATTCATCGTCAGGAGTTCCACGATCAATGCCAGCAGTATGACGTGCGACAAAATCGTCAGGTAGGTCAAAGAATGTAGATACGAACTTCTCGAAGAAATCGGAAATGCGCCGACGCTCGGAGCTACTGTGCTGGTTTGCATTGCAAGCATAAACGATCATGATGTGTAGGAGTTGGCCAACGACCTCCTGATCAGAAAACTGGTAAGAGTACTGGAATTTCGGTGTGGGACCTCTCGAACTTCTAAGACGTCGTTGTTCCTCGTGCTTGGTCTTGATGGAATCTACTAAATGCTTTGCAGCAAAATGCTTCTTGTCAGATTGCTTGACGTGAATACCCATGTGATCGAGGCTTTTCAAGTACATAACACTGCCTTGTGCGCCCCAGACAGGATTCCATTCACGCTGATACTAATATTAGCGTTGTTACCCGACTACCCGACTGGAATGGACAAAACTTACTCTGGTAAAAGTCCATTCTTCATCCTTCTGCTTGAGACGTGCTAGAACTACAGGTAACACGGCACAAGGATCATTGAACAAATCGTGAACAACCTGTGGACCTTTTTCATTGCCATAAATCTTCTTCAATACACGCTTGTAAATGGCTTGGTTTGGGCCAGCAGCTCCGCTAGGCATGCGGAAGCTTTCTCTATCGGCTGGATCCATGGCAACGATCTGCTGAGCAATTGGTTCGAGGAGTTGAATGACTTTGGCGTTGCATTCAATGTTGAAGTCGTAGTCGTGACGTTCTTCTTCAATGCGATGAAGTCCTTCCTCGAAGATATTCTTTCGATGGGCTACAAAACCAGAATCTTCTGATGCCCATGTAGGATGTGAAGCCCAGTCATCGTTGAGTACGGCTTGGCACATCTCATCCCGACCACTACAAGGCTTCAATCGCTCCTGTCATTAGAATATTAGCAAACAACCCTTATTCTCCAAACAAATTCACCCTCTGTAAAACGACAATAGAATTTACTGCAGCTAAAAATACGGAAGTAGTGGAGGACTTGCTCTTTTCGGTAACAAGCGATAACTTGGTCCCAAGCCTCGACAATTGCTCAATGCAACTCTTCCTGTCGGAGCCTTTGGACGATTGTCGATAATTTCGTCGACCCCTTCATAACCCACAAAGTCTCTGAACCAATTCATCAGATCCGCACTTCCACCGATGAAATTGCTGACTTTGTGTACTAGAACATTTCGATCGATCAGGTCTTGTGAGAAAAGATTACAGAGCTTCAGAAACTCGTTCATGGTGGACTTATTGCCGATGTATTTTTTTACACGATCGAAGAAGGCTAATTCTTCAGAACTCGCGGCTGACATCGAGGCAGGAGGCAGTGGTTCGGGTACGATTGGCGTCAGCGTTGGAGATACTGCAGCAGCATCGGCAGCCAGTGGTTTACTGTTATGATGGGTTTTCGGTCGCTATAGAAATCAAAGTGTCAAATAAATATCTCACCAAAGCATGGGGGACAAGTGAAACTGATTCTTCGATCTTGAGAGATCTAACTTAACATACCTTATTAGGTAGTGGTTGGCCGGCGCCACGGACAGAGCTTTCTCCACCATTGTTCATCTGCGAACCAGATCCTTGAGCGAGAGGCTTGCGCTTCTTTTCTGTTTTGCCAGTCGCAGGTGTAGGGATAGGAAAATTTCCCATGATTGGCAGTTTGGAATCTCCCGCAGGACCTCTGTTTCCAAGCTGGGCATTCTGAGAAGTATCTGGCATTGTTATTGCTTCTTCCGCCGCCTTAGCAGCAGCTTTTGCGTGTGCGGCTGATTCAGGTAGAAATTGTTTAAAATCTTCAAGGAGGTCGGGCGCTGTGCCAAACAAAGTAGTTACTTGACTATAAACGTCTTGAATGGGTTTGGATTCGCGTTGGTATGTCTGAAGAATCTCGAGAAATTGTTTATAAATTTCGGGTTTGTCTTGGAAACGGTTCTGAGGGTCAAGGGTGAGTATGTTTTCAAAGGTGATAAGAAGAGAAATTTCAAGTCATACCTTGATTTTATTGACGTAGCTTATCGCATGGTTGAACTCTACTGGACCGCGCTTTTCCATGCCAGGTTGCGCGCCAGAGCCGTTCATACTACCAGAACCTCCGCCAGGTGTTGGTGTTTGAGTACTTCTTGGTGGTTGACCCAAGGTCGCGCTCACAGCGTTAGTCAATTGAGAGACACCTCGTTGTTGTTGTTGATGGGCTGCGGCGGCTGCTGCTGCTTGTGCGTCGTATGATCCAATTGGTGCTTGATTATGACCATAAGGAACCGCAACGCTCTGGTGGGGTGGACTAAACACCGCTTCTGGACTTTCGATGCTATGCTGAGGTTGTTGCTGCCAATTTCCTGGGCGTTGAGGATTGTAAAAACCGTTTGCGCCGCCGCCGTGGCTAACTACGGTCTCGCCAAGTGCACGTCCAGCTCCAGGAATTGATTGAACAGTTGTTCCCATCGGCGTTGTAACTCTAATTGTGTTTGGATTATTGTCGGCACCGCACTCGATTCTGTAGCCAGGCGGGAGAAACGTGTTGAAGCCTTGAATTAAATTTGGATGGCCTGCAAAAAGCTCGGAAACTCGATTAATAACACCCGGAGTGTCGATTCTAAAAGTGAATACAAAAGTTAGCACGTGGGAGACATATTCATCTCCCAAGATTTTGCTATTTAAGATTGGAAAGGGAAATAACATACGCTTGACTCTTGAAGTCTTTCATGATATCGAGAAACCGGTTGTAGACGTCGGGTTGATCTGCGAACTGAACTTTAACCTGGTCGAGATAACTAAGAGCATCCTACAAAGAGAAGGATTAGATTTAGTTCATAGCTAAGGTTATAACCAAAAACTAAATGAATGAAAATAGCCGATGCTGTGAACTTACATTGAGAATTGGCTGTTGGCCACCTTGTGTTAGACCAGCAGTGCCAGGCATTTGGTGACCAGGAGTGATAGGTCCTCCAAACGGCATCAGTCTTGCGGCTGCTACTTCCTGCTGCGTTGTCTCCCGTGGCACTAGCTGTGGCCGGCCGAAGCCAACATCTGGAACGCCTGGAACCCCAAGCGGCACATTTGACTGAGGAGCACCCGAACTGCGGCTGAATATGGGCTCGGAGTTGAACATATGCTGCTGCTGCGGTTGTTGAGCGGCATTTTGAGCATGGTGTTGCAGGTTGCGTGCTGCGTCATTGTGAAGCGGGCCTCCAAAGGCATTGCCAGGTCCACTCGGAGCTCCTAGTGGGGTACCATGAGTAGCAAGAATACCTCCGGGGCTGTGCATCGCTGTAGTTGTTCGGTTGGCTACAGGCTGGTGTAGGGGAATACTGCCCGTATTGCTCTGGTGTGGAGGTGCTGGCTGATATTGTTCTCGGTGTTGTCGATCCCTTTCTTGCCTCTCAAGATCGCGCTCGCGCTCACGCTGCGTCACCATTTCTTCCATTTCTTCCTGTTGTTGCTGTAAAGCACGTTGGCGGTGTTGTTCTTCCATTTCTCGATCTCGATCGAAACCTGGAGGGCCGTTGTGTGGCTGATTATTCATAACGTTCGACTTTGGTTGGTTGATTTGATTGTCGATTTGACCGATAAGCTGTCTCCGAGAAGCAGAAGTTAGCGTACTTGCAGATGAGGGGGTTTCAAAATACAATATCAGCAGCTCATCAGATTTTAATCATGAATGCAGGAATTGAATCTTGGCTCAATCAAAGACGAAGAGGAACTGACAAAGTTGCTTGTAAGTACGCGCAAGGCTTTATGCTCCGGCGCAATGGAGTAAACACTGCTAATGTCGTTCCATAGAAGTGAATTTGGGTTTGAAGTATGATTCAGAGATATATCTGAATCGCAGTAACTATCAATATCTTTCAACTCCAGATTAAAGCGAATATGAATCGAAAGGTCGGTAATGAGTCGGGAGAATTTCCAAATGATCGCAATGATGATTTCAATTAGCGTGCCGGCTATCACCGCGATACACTTTGCAAGGCTAATGATTTCCCACAGCACGTGATATGCCAGCCCCTTGTAAAAGGGGGGCGAGGCTACCAAGGAGCAATTCACTGAGCAATTCACTGAGCAATTCACTGAGTAATTCACTGGATAGGGATTATTTGATATCAATCATCCATGTTAAATGAGCCCATTATGATTTCTTGATATCATTGCAAAATGAATCAACGATGAAACTATTGCCATGTTTGATATGTATTCTGTAAAATTTGAATGTATAAATGGCCCGCGTAGTAAATATGTCGAGGAGAGCTACAAAATTCGTTATCATTACGAAGCGCAACAATAAAGAATAAAGGCAAAATATCTCTGAGCTGTATATCTCGGAACCATATCTCGAAACCAAATCACAAGCAATTCGGATGATGCCCATGTCCAGATAAGGTCAACCTTTAAAATTAACCTCCCAGCATCTTCTACGCATAATTTCTCACACCCTTCAATATCCAAACTTGCCCATTGTAAACATCATCCGCCCTGCTAGAAACCTCAATATTCCCGGGTTGCAACTAAAAGAGTGGTCAATAAGTATAGTTTATATGTAATAGCAGACTGACTCGTTTCACACCATCCTTATTCTCCCACCAGACTTCATCTCCAACCAAAGTCTTGACCTTCTCACCTTCCTCCCATGGACTCGCAGGAACGATATGAGCTTCCACAAATCTTCGCAGGTTCTTATGGGCCCTCTCTTCTCCATGTTCGCCCTCATATGCATTGGCCCCAAGCTTGTCATAGTCTTCTGGGTCTTCCCATGGCTTTCGAGGCAGACCCATTATTGCAGAATTGACAGGCGCAAGAATAGTGGTATTTTGACCGCTATCTGCGAACCGCTGGCTTAAGGGTGCTATGTCTCTTGTAAATCCTGCAAATATATTGATACTTCGGTCTCTGCCGAGGACATCTGATAGAACAATTGTATCACCCCCACCAATAGGATCCGAAGACGGTTCGGATTTGGGAGGCATCGCGGGACCAAGATCGTTGTCCGGCATAAGTCCTTGAGTATCTTTACTTAAAGTTGTAGTAGCAAAGAGTGTTGCCAAAAGAAATGGTATAGCAGATGTGTATTTCATCTTCATACAATTGATGGCTTTTGTTTTGTGTTCACCAAATCTTGATGGAGAAACGAAATGCGGGATGACGAACTGAAGAACGTCTCCACTCCTCCACAGCAGCCAGCCCCACATCAATAGATGGAACTAGATTTCAAACACGTGACTATATATAATTCTTTGATTTCCAGCCAATAGGGCAGCATGTTTGAATTGTTCAAGATGAAATGGCCCATTCTCATTTGCTAACCACTTTGAGTGATTGGAAGATATCGAGCAATTGAGAGTCACAGTCATACCGGTATTGGAGTATGTTGTCCCAAAGATTTAAAGATCTTTGCCTGTACCGTAAGTACTTAGATAGGTATGTAGGTAGGTACTTACTCGAGTAGGTGCATTTCCATTCGCATCAGGTCGGTGTGGAATGAAACAGTTACCAAGGTTGATCTCTTCTGTTATGACTACGGGTACCAATGTAGCATCTAAATCTACTCAGTACCGTACGTACCTACTACCTAGGTACTCAGCGTCTTCCGGCATTTCACATGTTTATATGAATTCGAGCATGCCCCTGATGATGTAATTAAATGAACTGAGACCGAATCATCTGATACTGATACAAAATACAAAAACAGATTTTAAAAGTTGGACTCTGGAGTTGCCGGCAACATATATTTTGTGGGGCTTAGCTCCGACCGGCTTTCACATGCTTGATATCGATTCCCGCCTCTTTTCTTCTCTTTATTTACAATTGTTATGCTGACTCGGACCTCAATTTCTTGAATAATTGGAGTGTGAACATGTTAAACTTGCCAGTCTTAAGGGAACAAATGTATCTGAATTCATTATACTGTAACTGCTTTCATTTTGTTCATCAATATGTACATTAGTTATTTCAGCCCCCCGTACTGTTTTGACCCCATCTTCTGATGCCGTTTGCGGGAATTCTGACTTATTTATCTCCATTATATTTCCCCAGTTTCGTCTGCTGACATAAGCGACCTGATATTGTCCAACCAATCAGAATCAATTGTATCTTGCTTAGCAGCTTAGTTCCAAGCTAAAACATAGACCCGTAATGCCTCGGCATCGATTCCAGCGGAGAGACGAGCCACTTTATTACTTATTACTTCTAACACAAAACCCCAGGTTTCCTCCTATCATTTATCATCTAAACGTTCTTTTTAGAAGTTATTGAACCTCTCTGTTCTCCATCATCCTACTTTCTTAAGATTCTAATCAAAATGGCACCCAGAGTGATTGTAGTCGGTGGTGGCCGTAAGTTTTGATTATCTTTGTCCTCTCAGAAGTATGTTGTAGCTAACATTGGCTATAGTATCCGGTTTGAGTGCTGCGCATACCATTTACCTAGCTGGTGGCAATGTTGTTGTTCTGGATAAACAAGGTATGTCAAATCTGCGACAATGAATGGGCCTGGCACTGCTTTTCGACCAAAAATCGCGTTGCAATGCTCTCAGATGTCTTCCGCCACATATGCGTGGCCTGCCTAGATATCAAAATGTTCTAACTGGTACATATAGCCTTCTTCGGTGGAAATTCAACAAGTAAGCAAACGAAGTCTTAGCTCGCAGAGTATTTACTAATGTATCAATAGAGGCCACCTCCGGTATCAATGGAGCACTTACCCGAACCCAAGTCGACCAGAAGATCCAAGACAGCGTCAAGCAATTTTACGATGACACACTGAAATCAGCAAGAGATAAGGCGAGACCGGATTTGATCAAGGTCTTGACATACAAATCTGCCGCCGCTGTTGAGTGGCTTCAAGATGTATTCGGGCTAGATTTGACCCTCGTATCACGGCTAGGGTAAGCAAAGAATTTCGATGAACTGCACATACATCTGCTAATCAACCCAGTGGTCACTCACATCCTAGAACTCACCGTGGCCATGACGCGAAATTCCCCGGTATGGCCATAACATATGCTTTAATGCAAAGACTAGAGGAACTCGCTGAAAACGAGCCCGAACGTGTACAAATTATTAAAAAGGCACGAGTTACTGGGATAAAGAAGGAGGGGAACAAGATCAGCGGCGTTAATTATGAATTCGGTGGCGAACCTTCATTTGTTGAGGGGCCAGTCATTTTGGCCACTGGTGGATATGCAGCAGATTTCACAGAAACATCCCTACTTAAGAAACACAGACCTGATACTTACGACCTGGCATCTACCAATGGTGTACACGCCACTGGTGACGGTCAAAAGATGGTCATGGCCATTGGTGGCAATGGAATTGATATGGACAAAGTCCAAGTACATCCAACAGGTCTTGTTGATCCTAAGGATCCTGGATCTAAGTGGAAGTTCTTGGCTGCCGAGGCTCTCCGTGGTGAAGGAGGTCTCCTCCTGAACGGTGACGGTGATCGTTTCTGTGATGAACTTGGCCACAGGGATTACGTTTCTGGTGAAATGTGGAAAGAGAAAGACAATGGAAAATTCCCCGTCCGTCTCATTCTCAACTCGAAAGCATCAAATGTTCTCGACTTTCATACACGTCATTACTCTGGTCGTGGCCTCATGAAGAAGATGACTGGTAAGGAACTCGCAAAGGAGATTGGTTGTACACCAGATCATCTGCAGGGAACCTTCAAGAAATACAACAAAATTGCCGAAGGCAAAGAGAAGGACCCATATGGCAAGAAGTTCTTTCACAATGGACCCGTAGATATCGATGATGACTTTCACGTTGCTGTCATGGAGCCAGTTCTCCATTTCACAATGGGTGGTATTGAGATCAACGCAGATGCACAAATTCTCAACCAGGAAGGCAAACCATTTGAAGGTCTATATGCTTGTGGTGAGCTAGCAGGAGGTGTTCACGGTGCTAATCGTCTTGGAGGATCATCTTTACTTGGATGTGTCGTATACGGACGTGTCGCTGGTGATACTGCTAGCAACTACCTTTTCCAAAATGCCTTGAAAGGCAATCTCGGCTCTGCATCACGTCTTGGTCAAATCTCCCTTCATATCGACCCATCACAACCCGGCAAGATTTCCGTAGAATGGGATAGCCAATCTTCCGGCACTGGTGATAAAATTGCCCAACAATCCCAAACATCAGCTGGCCCCGTCATGAAAGAAGGAGCAGACTCGTCTGATCCGGGGAAAGTTAGCAAGCCAACCAAACCATCCGAGTTCAAGATTCCTGAAAAGGAATTCACCATGGATGAGGTAGCGAAACATAACAAGAAAGAAGATTTATGGGTTGTGGTCAAGGGCGTCGTTATGGATGTATCAGATTGGTTAGATGAGCATCCAGGTGGCCCACAAGCACTCATGAATTTTATGGGCAGAGATGCTTCGGAGGAGTTTGAGATGTTGCATGATGATGAGGTTATCCCCAAGTATGCTGCTAGTCAGGTTATTGGGAGGGTCAAGGGTGTTACACCTACTCTGGAATTCTGAAGTAAAAGGGGTGACTTCATGAAAATAAGGTTTTTCGGTTTTTTGATTATGTTTAATTTGGATGGATTCAATCGCTTGCACAAGAATAATTTGCACACTGTATTGATATGTTGGCAAGATGAGATTCCTTAATTTTTTTGATTCGGGAGTTTATATTCGGCACTATTAATATCAATACTTATACACTACTCATATAAATATGGTTCTCGCTCGTCTGTCTCGTCAACTTTACATCATCTCGCTGCTGTTTATTCATGCAAAGTATATTTTATATTCGTTCATTCACGTGTGATTTTTAAACTATATTTACTACTATATTGTGCCCAAGTACGAATATGACTTTTTTGAATATGTTGTGCTGTGCTGTGCTGTGATGTGATATGATGTGTTGTGATGTTATATATAATACGATGTTTATGATCTTGCACTGGGTACTAGTACTAGCACTGTCACTGTCACTAACAGTAAGTAGGTTTATGAAAGAAAAATGAGGAAGGTGAAGAGGAGAGGAGAGGGGTGTTAAGCGAATACCCTTAAATATGCTGTGCTTTAAGATTAAGATGGGAGGTGGTGGGGGGGAGGGACGGGGAGGAGATAAATGGTTTTGAATTTAGAGGTATGAGGTTTAATGTATCATATTGGGCATCTGCTGATGGATGTGATGGATGAGATGGTGAAATCTGGTGCGTTTGTTTGGATGGGGTGGATGGGATGGGATGGGATGGGAGAGGGAGGTGATGAATTGATGGTTTTCTTTGGGTTGTGGGTCGATGCGGGAATGTGGAGGATGTGGAGGATGTGATTTTCTGGGAGGTATATTAGGGTGAGGTATATTGGAGTGTGAAGGTTAGTGGTAATGGTGGTAGTGGTGGTAGTGAGCGGGAAGGTCCCAGTATAGAATGGCGGAGTGGGATATCGATCGAGATTGATGGGATTTTGGTGGAGGGAAGGTTGGGATGGGGTGGATGATGTGGTGTGGATGGGGTGTTGAGGTTTAGTGGGAAAGATCTGGAGATATATGGTAACTTGTAAGTTATTTGTGTTCGTGTTGTTAAGGAGTTGTGATTTGGGATTTGGACATGATATGAGATGAGATGCTTTCATAATGTTTGACAAGGAGATGGAGATGGAGATGGAGATGAAGTTGGTATACCGGTACTCGAAACCAGACTTACTGAGGCTGTATATCAATCAAGTTCACACTTAATACTCGTAGAACCTGTCGATGTATGTGGAGATACCTTAGAGTGTATGCCATATGTAAAAGAGAGTAAAGTAAAAAGTAAAAAAGGAGATAGAACGTATCAAACATCTCTATATATAATTCAAATAGTACTGAGTACTGAGTACAAGTAAAAAGTAAAGAGAAGAGAAAGAGAGCCCTTCTATGAAAAGTAGTACTATAAGGGCTATAAATAGCATTCAATTATTTCCTAGTACTTCCTAATGACCATTTTATTCTTGAATCTCTAACTCGAGTACGAGATCTAAAACTGTTTATGGACAAGTAAGGCTCAAATATCCCATTATTAAAGTTACACGGCATCTTTGTGTATCCATCCATCTATTCATCTATCAGAGATCGTAAGGTTTTTGTATTGTATTGTACAGTACTGTATTGAGGAATCAACGTAAGGTAAGGTCCAAGATAAGAAAGGCATCAAAAATAGATAGTTGGCAACTATACCTATCTACCTACCTATCTCAATCTTTACTTCATGTAACACGTACAAGAGTAGAAAGCCGTCTGACTACATGATATGTATGCTTGTCATTATACGAGTCAATGGACTGAGCTGATGTATGTCATTTCTGCCTGCCTTGAGTTGAGTTGAGTTGAGTTGAGTTGAGTTGAGTTGAAAGGCGAATTTGTTAGTTGGTTTGCATGGACATGGAGATGGAGATGATGGGTGTTGGGTGTTGGTTTGATATGGGAATTTCTTCATGTTCTGTTTCATTTGGAGTTGGGTTGAGATGTTATATACCTAGGTAGGTATGTTGATGTGTGAAGAAGGGGGTATACCAGATCGGATCCGAAGAAAGATAATGAAGAATATGAAAGAAATACCTAGTATATATAATAATACCTCAACCTCATCACTTGCAGGTGCAGACTGCATTGTAAATGCATAAATGGACACAGAAGTGGCCCTCAATTGGCTGATTATCCACTACTGGTGTACATATCTTGGATTGAATTCGAAGAAGATTGTTGAGCTCTACGAGTAGAAAAGTCGTAGTAGATAGATAGATATCTATTCTACGAGTTATAAAACCTCCAGTACTTTACTTTATATAAAAATTAAAAATTGAAATTGAAAATGTGATACGCTATATATAGACAAGCCTAGAAAATCAGCCCCAGATATATATATATTGGCATATTGGCTCATGGTAGCTGTTGTGACCAGAACCTGAATTCCGTATTGAGTTATTGATGAAGTGAAAAGGGAAGGGTTGTAAGTACTTTTTGTGAGTGAGGGGAAATGAACTCGAACCAATCATCAAAATAATCATATCATGCAACTGCAGACATGGTAAAAATCAATTGCATGATTCTAGGTATTTTCATTGGCTTACCTACCTTAATGGGATCGCTATAAACCTCGCTGAATTCTTAAAATTCTTATCCCCCCATCCTTATATTCCTGACATCCTGACCCTTTTTATACCTTCCCTATCCAAGAGTAATGAGTAATTCAATGTGTACAGTTACCAGTGAGTACCCCGTGCAGCAGCCAGCCGTGTTTTTGAGAGAGCAAACCATTGAAGGATTCTGGATTTCTTATTATTCCTCTAGTGTTGTATTACTTGTTACGGTTACTGGTTACTGGTTACTGTTACTGTCACTGTCACTTGTCACTGTTACTGTTACTGTTACCTTTCACTAGATACAAACTTCTTCTATTCAATCAAATCAAATCAAATCAATAAAGTCTAATTCAATCAAAAAATAGTATTGTATCGCATATACTATACCTGTTTTTTTTTTATGATCCATTCATTCACTTATCTCACTTTCACTTTCATCCCTTCAACTTCAACTTCCACGCCGCATCAATGCATATTTCTCCTCAACTCATCCTCAATTTTTCGTAACCTTTTTTTTTCCCTTCTCTAATAAATTTGAAGCCTGCACTGTGACAGGTGAGGATAGCCGATTTATTCTAGGGTGGCGCAACACCCAGAACTCTGCACCACCAAGACCAACCACAACCTCATTCAGCTTTCCGTTCTCTCAAAACCTCAAGCCCTATTCGTTCCGTAAAGCTGGCTGGGGTTACACTCACTCCCCCCCTCGACTTCCCCCATCCCCATGCCAGTCTTGTCATTCGATTCCTTCCACAAGTTCCAAAAGACGAATCCCTTTTCCCCACAAACTAAATTTTAGGTCGAACATCTTCAACTATTGTCAGCAGTTTTCCCCCAATACTGTTCGACCGAATCCTCATCCCATCCCCCCCTCCATCTCGTGCGTTGCTTCTCTCAACATCCCATCCTCGATCCTTCAACCACGTGCTGCATTGTACTGGACAAGGGAATGCTTCTCTGTGTTTGCATCTGCGTGAGATTATTCCTCGTCCAATGGGCATGCCAATCTCCATTCACGAAAATCCGGTGATCATCAACGACTTACATCGAATTCATCCTCATATATTCGAACGTTCGTTGATTTACTACGCCGACCTGACGACCACTTCCAATCCACCATGGCCATCGCCATGACCTGGCACAAACCCGATAATGTTGCCGGCTCATCTGCGCCGGCGATCATGATAGGACTATTCGTCGCGACAGGAGGACTCTTATTCGGTTATGATACTGGGTGAGTATGGTGGCGGGAACAATTCACGACGTGATGAACGCTGACATGGGATGAAGTACAATATCTGGAGTAATGGCAATGCATGCCTTTCGCAAACAGTTTTCGACTGGTTACGTTGACCCGACCGACAATGAGTTATCGATATCGCCTGGACAATCCGCCCAAATCGTTGCGATATTGAGTGCCGGGACATTCTTAGGAGCATTACTTGCGGCGCCACTGGGTGATAATATTGGACGACGAATATCTCTCATCATCGCTGTCGGTATATTTTGTATTGGGGTGGCACTACAGACTGCTGCAATGCATATCCCGATGCTTATAGCTGGAAGGTGTGTTTACATTGTTTCGCACATATTAGGGGAAGATGACTGACAGTCATTCAGATTCTTTGCGGGCTTAGGTGTTGGAATTATATCGGTTCTCGTCCCTTTATACCAATCGGAAATGTCACCGAAATGGATTCGCGGAACTTTGGTATGCGCATACCAACTCGCTATCACTTGTGGAATTCTCCTCGCGGCCGTTGTCAACATATTTACCGAAGGTATTGATGGCGCAAATGCCTTTCGAATTCCCTTTTCGGTCCAATTCGTATGGGCAGGCGTTCTCTTCCTTGGCCTTGCTCTCTTACCCGAAACCCCTCGATATCTCATCAAACGTGGTCAACATCAGGCTGCTGCTTCCTCGTTAAGTCGTCTTCGTCGCCTTGACATAACACATCCTGCTTTGATCGAAGAATTGGCCGAAATTGAAGCAAATCATGAGTATGAGTTGAGCCTAGGTCCATCATCATATAAAGATATTTTCCTAGGCTCGCCGCATCTCGGGCGTCGACTTTTGACAGGTTGTGTTTTACAAATGCTTCAGCAATTGACTGGATGTGTACGTATATACCTCCAAATATTGTAATTAAATTGCTAATAGATCGAATAGAATTTTATTTTCTACTAGTGAGTATAATTAATATTACTCTTTTGTGACAGATCATTCATTTCGGTTGAGATATGCAGTGACTGACTAGCTACTTGTAGTGGTACGACTTTCTTCAAGAATGTCGGAATCTCATCACCTTACGTTATTCAACTTATCTCCAACATCGTAAACACTGTCTCAACTCTTCCCGGTATGATTTTAGTCGAGTCCTTGGGCCGACGTCGTCTTCTCATGGTAGGGTCAGCAGGAATGGCAGTTTGTCATTTCTTGATTGCATCGGTTGGAACCGCAGCACAGGAGGAGGCGAGAGCTGTGAATATAGTCATCATTGTATTCGTCTGCTTGTTCATCTTCTTTTTTGCTTCATCCTGGGGACCCGTCGTCTGGGTTGTCACGTCAGAAATCTTCCCATTGAAGGTTCGAGCAAAGTCCATGTCAATATCCACTGCTTCGAATTGGCTTCTCAACTTCGCCATCGCTTATAGCGTTCCATATATGACCAACAACGGTCCCGGTTATACAAATCTTCAGACAAAGATCTTTTTCCTCTGGGCTTTCTTTTGTGTAATTGCCTTTGCATTCGTATGGGGAATGGTTTATGAAACGAGCAAGATCAGTCTTGAGCAGATCGATGAGTTGTATGAACGAGTTGAACATGCTTGGAATAGCAACAGCTTTGAACCTAGTTGGAGTTTCCAAGAAATGCGGGATGAGGGCGCATCTGCGAGTGGCATTCAACTACAACTACAACTCGCCACTCAAGAAGAGCCGAGGAGACGAACGGGTACAAGTGCAAGCGCAACAGGAAGTGAGGGCACCATGTCAGAGGAAGATAAAATCATTGCAGGATTAGGCGATGTGGATTTGAGTTATTAATGACTTCTCAAAGGCTATTGAAGGCTTTGGGTATTTTAAGTATAGTACTATATTCTTTTCAAGCGTCGGAGTTTTATTGTTGTCAGGAGTTCTATGGATGGATGGATGGATGGAGGGATGTATGGATGGATACGTATGGATGCGTATGGTGCAGGGTGGGAAATGGAATATGGGAAAGGTTGGGGTTGGGAATTGTGATTGGGGATCTTTGGGACAAATGGGTCTTATCCACAGCAGGCGAATTTGGGGAAAGCAAAGAAAGGGGGCGGGTTATACCAATTGCGCATTTATTGCCCAGAACGCAATATCGGGTGATATTTTATATCGGATAGGAGCTAGTTAGCTGACCTAAGCTGACCTGACCTGACCTGGACTCGGTTGGAGTGGAATGGAATGGATTGGAATGGGTGGTTCTTTTGTGAGATTTGCAAATGTTGATGTTGTGGGTGTAGTATGAAATGAAATGAAATGAATGATCAATTTATTTTAAAGTATAAGAACGAGAATGAGAATGAGAAATTGAGAGAATTGAGAAATTGACGAGGGGTATTAGTGTATGTGTATGTGTATGTGTAACTCAGTGTGTGTGTATGAATATTAATCATTTATTCATGCTTGAAGCGGGTCTTGGATTTAATCCAACTACTATATATTGAGCTTATGATTTTTTGAAGTTGATGAGGTATGAGGTATGAGGTATGAGGTTTAGGTATGTGGTATGAGATTTAGGAATGAGGTTTAGGTAGGTATAGGGAGTGGAGGGATGGAATTTGGCGGGATGAGGTTTGGCGGGGTGGAGTATGAGGTATAGGGAGTGATGGGGTGATGGGGTGTGGAGGGGGTGAGGAATAGGGAGGGGTGAGGCGTTGGGGGAGGTGTTGGGGGAGGTGCGTTGTGATATGTGAGGTGTTATTTGTTAGATGTTAGATGTTAGATGAGAGGTGTGTGTGTATGTATACCTGATGTACGAGTAGTATAATGTTGTATGTATGGTATGATATGTATAACATGTATGGTATGGTATGTACTTTTTGTACTGTATACAGAAGACGAAGAAGATGAAGAAGATGGGTCTTCTGAGTAGATATACTCACTCAATGAAATAATCATCTGGTTTGTCTATGGTTCTATGGTTTTATGGTTGGGTATAGGGGACGGAATGGAATGCTACTGGTAGTACTCGAGTATAACGAAGTACAGTAATTATAAAATGAAATATGTATTTATTGGTATTTGAGGAGGGGGTTGATTCATAGGGAGGGGTGTGGATATAAATGAGATGGGTAACTAGTAAATGGGTGGATGGATGGATGGATGGATGTGGATGTATGTATGGATGTGGGTTTAGGTGTGAATGGATGGTGATGAGGAGAGATATGGATGAATGATTTGGAAATGGAATAAGGGAAACAAAACGATTACATCGGCTTCTCTCATATAATATAGCATAGCTTGTTAGCTTTTATACTGTATCTATATGGAAGTTATTGTCGTTATTATTATAATCATAATCAAATCTATCCCCCCGATTTTTTATTCTTCTTCTTCTTTCAAGAACGGTTATGGTAAGATTACCATGTCTCTGATATTGAATATTCTGGCTAGGAATATTGTGGGTGGAAATACTCTATGATGATGATGATGATGATGATACATGCATATTAGCTAGCTAGACAGCTAGACAGCCCCTATGCACCTCTCAAAAACCAGAAAAAGAACTTGATCAGGGAGTTACTGTCTCCCTCGACTCTTCTTTAGTCTTTTTAAAGACTCTTATACTCACTCGAGTAGTCTTTTAGCAAAAAAAACCCCTATTGTTCAAGATATCAATACTCATACTCGATCTAGTACATTAGTAATTCCTTCGATTTACCATACACCATACACCATACACCATACACCACCTACACGAAATCATAGGTCGGTCAGTTCACATCATCTTACATCTATCTACAGTACAGTACAATACCTCGCCTTTCTCCCAAGTACTCTAGAATCTAGATGGATATTTGCCAGAAAATACGAAATACGAAATACCTACTCGTACTGCGCGCTTTACTCGTGGATGATGGATGGATGTGGGGATGGATATGAAATGTACGTGTACGGGAAGGAAGTAGGGAGGATTTGTAATTTATTTGTTTGTTTGTTTGTTCGCTTTGGGGGGGGAGGGGAGGGGAGGGGAAATGTAGATGGATGTTTTACTGGTGTAGGAGGTACTTGAGTATACTCGAGTATAGGATGTGTGGTGTGGTTTGGTATGGTATGTGTAATGTTATTGATGTTGATGTTGATGTTGATGTTTCTGCTTATATAGTCTAGGCGAATGAAAATGAAGAGTGCGTCTTGGGATTGAGGAGGGGGAGGAGGAGGAGGAGGAGGAGGAGGAGGAGGAGGAGAAGAAGAAGAAGAAGA